ATAATGCTACTGAATATTTTGAAAGATCCTTGAACCTGTTTATGGAAGATGCTGGAATGATCCATCAGTCATCTTGTGCTAGCACCCCCCAACAGAATAGGGTTGCTGAGCGCAAGAATAGACACCAATTGGAGACTACTCAAGCCTTACTATTTCAGCACAAGGTTCCCAAACACTATTGGTCTCAAGCAGTCCTTACTGCATCATATCTGATAAATCGAATGCCATCCAAGGTATTGGGGATGAAAACTCCTTTCTGTGTCCTTTGCCCTCATCATCCAAACTTTTCTCTTCCACCGAGAGTCTTCGGTTGTGTATGTTTTATACATGTAAAGGATCCAAAGAAGACCAAACTGGATCCTAGGGCTACGAAAKGAAYCTTTTTGGGRTACTCTCCTACACARAAGGGTTACAAGTGTTATGATCCAGTCACCAAGAAAAAATATGTCACAAAGGATGTGGCATTTTTTGAGTCTCAATCCTATTTTCATTCTTCCCACAATCCTCTTTAGGGGGAGACTAGCGGGATGGAAGAGGATTCTTCTGTTCCGTCCTTCTTTGTGCCTCTTTCATCCTCGGACCTTCCATCTTCTCCTCCTGATCCTCCTAGTTGTAGTATCCCGAGTGAATCTAGTGAGGCTCCCATTGTACCAGCTACTACTCGTGATGTTGCAAATGTTATACAAGACTCCAACATGCAACAAAAAGATATAAGAATCACCTACAATAGAAGAAAAAAGGGTCCTCTAACTCATGACAACAACCAATTGGACTCGGATCAACCTGTCTCAGCAACTCTAGGTAATCCTATCACACATCCCTCTGACTTGGATCTTCCTATTGCCCTTCGTAAGCCTACCCGTTCTTGTACTATCCGACACCCCATTGCTGATTTTGTGTCTTACTCACATTTGTCTCCTCGTTATTGTTCTTTAGGGTCTGCTCTTCCTTCTGTGCATGTCCCTACTAGGTATTCAGAGGCAGTGTCTGACGCAAGATGGAAAGAGGCTATGGACGAAGAAATGAAAGCAGGGACTTGGGAATTAGTGGATCTACCGGAAGGGAAAAGCACTGTTGGATGCAAGTGGGTGTTCACTGTAAAGCACAGGGAGGACGGGTTCATTGAAAGGTACAAGGCCAGACTTATACCAAAGGGTTTACTCAAAAAGAAGGGATTGACTACAAAGAAACCTTTGCTCCAATAGCAAAACTCAATACAATCCGCGTTCTATTGTCATTAGCTACAAACTTCTCATGGGAGCTATATCAGTTGGATGTGAAGAATGCTTTCCTAAATGGCAACCTACATGAAGAGGTATTCATGGATCCTCCACCAGGTTATGGGTTTGGCAGGAAGGTGTGTAGACTGAGAAAAGCATTATATGGACTTAAGCAGTCTCCTCGAGCTTGGTTTGAGAAGCTTTGTGGGGCCATGAAGAAAGGGGGTTACACTCAAAGTGGGGCAGATCATACCTTGTTCATAGGGAAGAAAAATGGCAAAATTACAACACTTATTGTCTATGTGGATGATATGGTGATTACAGGGGATGATCAGGAAGAGATTAAAAGACTAAAGGAGTTCTTGGCTGCTGAATTTGAGATCAAAGACCTAGGCCAGCTGAGATACTTCCTTGGGATTGAAGTTGCTAGGTCAAAAGAGGGCATCTATATATGTCAACGAAAATATGTCCTTGATCTTCTTCAAGAGACAGGTATGATGGAGTGTAGGCCAGCAAATACTCCACAATAGAGCAGAACCATGGTCTACAGGAATCAGTAGGAGAGGACTACCTTGATAAAGAGAGATACCAAAAGCTAGTGGGGAAGTTGATTTATCTGTCCCTTACTCGCCCTGATATTGCTTATGTTGTACATGTTGTCAGTCGTCAGTTCATGCACTCTCCTAAAATCCCTCACATGAGAGCTGTGGAAAGGATTCTCAGATATTTGAAGACTTGCYYRGSGAAAGGRATTCTRTTCAGAAAACACAATAAAATTGAAGTTGAAGCATATACTGATGCAGATTGGGCTGGTTCTGTTGGGGACAAGAAGTCCACTTCCGAGTACTGCACCTTTGTTGAAGGAAATCTAGTTACATGGAGGAGTAAAAAACAAAATGTGGTTGCTAGATCAAGTGCAGAGGCTGAATATCAAGCTATGGCTCATAGTGTTGTTGAACTTCTGTGGCTTAAGATCCTTCTTGGTGAACATGGAATAAAGATCGAGTACCCTCTCAGGCTGTACTATGACAACAAGGCTGCCATCAACATTGCAAATAACCCAATGCAACATGATAGAACAAAACATATTGAGATAGACCGCCACTTTGTTAGAGAAAGAATAGTCTCAGGAGAACTCTGCATTCCTTATACTCCCTCYGARATGCAGATCSCAGATGTTTTAACTAAAGGGCTAGCTTCAATAAAATTCTTGGACTTACTTGGCAAGCTAAACATGATTAATGTCCATGCTTAGCTTGAGGGGGAGTGTTGGTTCGGCTGTCTTAATATGTATGCTTATCYTTGTTGGGTCTTAAGTCATTAGTTGTTGGGCCTTAGTTATTGGGCCTAATCTTATTTAGTGTTTTATTTGTCTAGGTGTCCCATCACTAATCAGGGGCATTCTAGTCTATTTATGTAACATTATGTAATACACTTATTTATAATAGAGTAAGGYCGGCTGAGAGATTCATTGCCGCCATTCTCAAATCTTCCTCTTCTTCTTCTTCTTCTCTTCTCCTTCGGCAACTATATTCCAGCAAACAAAAGATATCTATCCAAAGATGTCACCTTTTTTGAGTCTAAACCTTTCTTCTCCTCCACTTGCCCTTCTCTTTAAGGGGAGAATGTCAATGAAGATCAGATTTCTTTTTGCATGCCTATTCTTGTATCAGCTACAACTAACACTATTAATCCTTCCTCCTCTCTTCCTACTTGTGGTGGTAGTAGTGCTCTTCCTGTGCCTCCTCCTTTGCCACCTCATGTTCCTTGATCTTGGCACTAGTGGTTCATGAGACAAAAAATATGTTGACTCCAGAGATTAAATGTCCACTACAATCTGACTTCCCAAACTTAGGTAATTTGGAATGCATTATCCTCTACAATGTCCACTACCTCTTTTTTTTTTTTGATGCATGTGTTGAATCTATTACTGAACTTCCTAGACCTCCCTATTGTAGTTCATAAGGCAAAAAGGACATGTGCTAAATATCCCATCTCAAATTATGTCTCTTATGATACCTTATCACCCTCCTATTATGCCTATATCTCTTTCGTTTCTTTTGTTCTAATCCCTTGCAGTGTTACTAAGGTAGAGCAATTTGCTTAATAGAAGGATGCTATGAATCAGGAAATGGAGGCCCTTGAAAAAAAAAAACTAAACATGGGAAATTGTTTCTTTACCAAAAGGTAAAGTTCCTCTTAGATGTAAGTGGTTTACACAATGAAGCATAAAGTTGATGCTTAATTAAAAGGTATGAAGCTCGACTTGTAGCAAAAGGGTACACTCAGTCTTATCGTATCGATTACTAGGACACTTTTGCTCCGATAGCCAAGATGAAAGGTGACTATGTTTATTGGGACTATGTTTGATAGATCTAAATTAATCTTGAAAATTGGCTTCACTCAATCTCAAGCTGATTAGACCTTGTTTATTGGGAGGGTAAATGGAAAGGTGACTATGTTGATAGTATATGTATTATGTTTATTGGGACTATCTGAACTGAAGTCTTTTCTTGCTACTTAATTTGAAATTAAGGACCTTGGAAATCTCCGGTACTTCCTAGGTATCAAGGTCACAAGGTCAAAAAGGGGCATTTATATTTCTCAAAGGAAACATGCCCTTGATTTGCTTCAGGAAGTAGGAAGATTGGATTGTAAACTAGCTGAAAATGCAATTGATCCCAATCATAAGTTGGTTGGATTGAGTGTGGTCAGTCAATACATGCATAAGCCCAGATCTTCTCATATGCAAGTAGTGAATGGAATGCTTGCCTATTTGAAGGGGTGTCCAAGACAAGGAATGTTGTATTCTGATCATGGCATTTGAAGGCTAAGGCCTACTCTGATGCTGACTAAGTAAGTTCTATTGATGATAGGCACTCTACTTTTGATTATTGTATCTTGGTGGGTGGTAATGTTGTATCTCGGAGAAGCAATCAGTTGTGGCCCGTTCTAGTGCAAAGGCAGAGTATAAAGCTATGGTCCATGGGGTTTCTAAATTGCTATGAGAGTATAGATTGATACTCCAATGATGTTATATTGCGACAACCAAGCTGCCATAAATATAACCCACAATCCTATTCAACATGATCGTACAATAGAGGTTGATAGTCACTTCATTAGAGACAGTTTCTAGTGAAGAGGTTTTTTTATTACCTTTTGTGAGGTCCGAAGATCAGTTAGCTGATTGTTTTACTAAAGGTGTTCCCAAATCAAAGATTGACAACAATTTGGACAAGCTAGGCGTGAAAAATATCCTCGCTCATCTTGAGGGGGAGTGTTGAGAGTGTAAAGCATTTTTGTCCTTTTTTTGTATTTGGGAATCTAGTCAAGGGCTTCTTTGTAATTTTATTCATAATCTTTAAATGAAGTCCTTCTAGGTGTGAACAATAACACACATAATCTTCTCGACAAAACTCTTCTTCCTCTTCTTCTTCTTCTCACAAAATATCTTATAATTGTAAGATACTACCAACTCTTTTGTAAGACAACTTAGGTCTTACCATCAAGGAACAAAATAAAGTTGATTAGTTATCATCAATGCAAGATTTTCTATATAGCTGGTTATAGAAGAATTGAATTGTATAACAAACATTAGAGACCAGCTTTTATCATTTGTTTTGTTGCTTGTGCAAAATTATAAGATGTTACGCATAGTTTCCAATGCATATGGTACAATTCAGAGTCAGGAGGTAACAAAAATGCCGGTAAGAAAAGCAAATCATATAGTTCTTTTACCATGGAAGAAAAGAAACCCAAAAGGACTAAAATATCACTCACTCTGTCTTCCCCTTACGCAAGGGGCAGGTCATAACTGGAGTCTGGATTTTCTCTGAAGCCCTCATTAGAATCTCTTGTAAACGTGGGATTCCCAGTGTGACATTCATTTCTCCTCGGCCAGCATGATGGAAAGTGTTGAGTCTGAAAATTCAAGACCATTTCATCAGTGATTCAGATAGTATATTTGATTTTATAGTATATTTGTGGGATACAATCATAGTTTTCATGAGGTTTAAAATGAAAAAAAAAACTCTATTAGTAAAGTGGGTACGAATGTCGTTCTTTTACAAATCAATGGTTCGACAGTCAAAATGTTTTTTACATATTTTGTTCATGATATATAATATCAAGGTCATTATTCAGTCATTTTATTAATATCAATATAAAAATTTGGTCATTTTTAGTTTAATTTATTAATACTATTCAATATTTGATTGCACTGTGAATTCAATTCAAATCCAATATAAACCCGACCGGTAAGGTTCGATTGAGTTTTGATATAAGCAAATTAAATTTGGATTCACCTTATATCAAAATCAATCTTATTTGTTTAAAGCCCTAATGTCTCATAGAAAAAGATACAAGGAAATTGTTGGATGTGACATGACTTGCTATTAGGATAAATATATACTAGCAGTGACTCGGGCGATGCAGGCTGCTGTTTAAAAGTATACTTTTAAGGGAAAACATGAAGTAACAGTGATTCACCAAAGATTTTATATATTTCTAGTTCTTTACATATAAAATAGCAGAAAAAGTAATTTTCTTTTCCTTTAGTTATTCATCTTCAAACTTACTCCTTTTTATATAACTTATATATTATGAGAAATACATAAATTAATTGCTTGGCATGAAAATCAACTACTTAGCCAAATAGGTTCTCTAGCTAGTTGGAGTGGAGACCTGAGATCAAATCCTGTTGCCTCTAGGTTTGGGGGATTGGCTACCCCTGTTGTGTAGCCCTATAAAGCCCAAAAATGTGCTTACATGAGATCAAAAGCCAAGTAAAAAAAAAAAAAAATCAAAATTGAACTTAGGCTCATGCTAAATGCTTTCTTATTATTGAACCAAAACAATCCATGAAACAAATCTATACTAAATTAATAAAAAAAAAGAGAAAACCTGATAACCCATGGAAAGGAGCTATAACATTAGTTTGAGTCCAATCTACATCCCTAACGGGGCCCGACTTCCCAAACCTGATAGGAACGAGGATGGGAATTCCTTTGGCGGGGCAGGGATGACAATATATATATATATATATATATATATATATATATTATAACAATATTTATATTTTAAAATTTTTATTTATTTTTCAAAAAATATAGTTATCTAAAAACATTTCGGGGATTCGGGTCCCCATTGGGGAATGGTGATGGAGGACAACTTTTATCCCAGTAGGGATCGGAGACGAGGACAGGGAATATGATCCCCACCCCGAACCCGCGTTGTTGCAATTCCTAGCCCCTTATCCTACCCCAATCCATCTAATTTATACCCCTACTTAGTTAAATAGAGCCAAAAGAAATTAAGAGTGATTTAATGGGGAGGGGCCATATTTCAAACATTGACTATTAAGGTGGGGGGAGGGGAGATTTAAGAATGACTTAATTAGAGAAAGGAGAGGAAAAGGAAGTATGTGTGAGCTCTATGGTGAGAGGACCCCTCATTTCCCCTCTTTCCTCTTTTTATTATATAGACTAGTGGATCCATCATGGACTAGTAACAAGTTTTAAGGAATTTTGGAATAATTTCAAAGAAAACATTTAGGGTACAGGCTAGTTGAATCCTAACTTGAATTGTCAAGTTAGGAAGGAGTTATAGGACTTTGCAATTCAACATATGATAAGTCGCAGGGCTGATATCGCGTCTATATACACAAATCTCCATTTGGCACAAAATTGAAGCTTTAATACCTGAAGATTTAAATGGAATTTCCCCACCTGATTTTAAATGGTGTTCAGAATGAAAACCAACAGGGACACCAGATTAAAGTAGGCATTTCCCCTGTTTGGGTGGCCTGACTTACAAAGAAAGTTTTGCCCTTAGAATCAGGCCAGAATTTGAAGGAAAGAGCAAAGTAGGGCTGTTCATAAAATATTAAAAACCGACCAGACCATACCAGAGTCACCAGACCAGACCGACTCAACCTGAGATGGTCGATTCAAAAAGAAACTCAGTTGGTTTCGGTTTAAAAAAACAAGTTAAAAACCTGAGGGCTCGGTTTGGTTTCGGGTTGTGTCTTTGTAACCAGAAATAAAACCGATCCAAGCGGACGTATTGTATGCAAAAGCACCAACCTCCAAAATGCTTGTTGTTTTGTTAATTAAGTTGGAATTTCCCCACCAGAAATAAAACTGTTAGTGTGTCAGGCTATCTCCCAAAAAAAGTAAAAGGGGTAATGCAAATAAAACGACAGGTAATGACAGGTTTCATATTAACTTTCACTAGCACGTGTAGATGAGTAAATCTAAACTATAAATGGTGGGACTGATGTGTGGTGATGATCTAAATCTAAGATATAAAGTGTACAATTGAACAATTCTTTTGTTTGGGAGACTCATTGAAAGGGTAGGTTCAAGAAATTTTTAAACGGTTGGAGAGTGGGAAGAGAACAAGTGTCGATTACTCATCTCCAATTTGTTGATGATACCATCTTCTTCTGTGAGAAGGGTGAAATTGGCCAAGTGAGGAACCTTGGATTGGTGGCCAAACTCTTGAGAAAAGAGTTGGAGAAGAGTTGCTTGATGGGATTTTGGTGTAATGGCCTATGACTTGCTTGGGTTTACCATTAAGGGATAATCCAAGAAGAGATTGGCTTCATGGAAGAGAAATTATTTGTCATTAGGTGGATGAATCATGTTAATTAAAAGCATTGAGAAGTTGATGAGGGTTTTTTTTTTCTCCAGGAACCAAGGGAGCAGAAGAAGGATCACAGGGATAGTGGGGAATGGCTTGTAGAAATAAGGAATATGGAGGGTTTGGGCTAGGGAACTTTCAAGAAAGGAACATGGCTCTATTGAGGAAATTGTTGTGGAGAATGTTAATGGATAGAGATAAGTTGTGGGCAAGGGTAATAGTTAGCATTCATGGTCTTGCAGTGGATGGTTGGGATTCTGAAAATTCAGCTAGGGCTACAAGACTTTCAGCTTGGAAGTCCATCCATCATTTCCCACCTTTCTTCTTACCACATATTAGGTATAGTCCTGGATTTGGAAATCCTGTTAAATTCTAGGAGCATGTTTGGGTGCACAGCGAATCTCTAAGAATACAACGCCCATCTCTTTATACCCTACCGTAGGGAGGAACCTATACATTGCCTTTTGGCTCTACTTAATCCGAATGGTGGGTATAATTGGGATCTGGTTTTTTGAAGAGGGCTCAATGATATTGAAATAAACAATGTTATTAACCTCCGACAAAAATTGGAATGAATACTGTCATTAATGAGAAGAGGAAACCTGTAAATTGTTACGAGTAAAGGCGATTTATAATTGGATCAGAAGAGATGCAAATGGCTTTGCTGATAACTTGCTAAACAAGGGGTGGGAAGGAATAATTTATTTAATTTATTTATCAAAAAGGGAATAATTTATTTTGGTGCTACATTAATGAGAAGAGGAAAACTGTTAAATTGTTACGAAGGGTAGAAGCGACGGGTCAGAAGAGAAGCAAATGCCTTTGCTGATACACTTGCTAAAAAGGGGAGGAAGATGGATGGTGGTGCTACATTAATGAGAAGAGGAATGTTGTTAGATTGTTACAAGGGGTAGAGGCGACTTGTGATTGGGTCATGGGAGATGCAAATGCCTTTGCTGATACACTTGGTAAACAAAGGGTGGGGAGGAATAATTTATTTTGGGCTGTGCTGAAATGCTTCTGTTACGGAGGAATAAGAGTGTTTATTCCTGCCCTTTATTCTTGTACTAAAATTCCTCTTTTTTAATGAAATGGATTCTGTTACAGATAAAAAAAAGTGAACCAGATACACATGGACACACTGATAGAAAAACATTTTTAAAGATTTAAAACTTTAAAATACTTGCTTGGAGGGTCCTAATGCTGTCTATTAGTTTATGGACACCTGGACGAGAACTAATTTGCCACTCGATCATTTATTTGTTCATCGGTTGATTTTACAGGTACCAAGCTGGAAACATTTATCTATATACATGTGCTAAGAGTCAAATACAATTTCACATCAGATGGCCTCCCAAACTTACCAGATCTATATAAGTGCATCCCATTTCTTTTCTTTCTCTCATATAATTCTCTTCCTATGTAACTTTTCAACTACTATACTCCAAATCACAAAACCAAAAATACCTATGTAACTCAGTGTTCTATGTTTCTTCAAATTATTCTAATCGTTGTGTTTTTTTTTTTTGGACATGTCATAATCAACTTTTGTCTGATTACAAATATAGATCCGAAATTAATCAACCGCACTGATAGGTCTTGAACTTCTCAATCCTGCTGGAATTTCCCCTGTGGATATCATCATTCTGCCAACTGTCAGACATCTCTAACAGGCGCTTTGACAACAACAATGAAAGATTCTTTCATGATTGCAATAATGATTTGTTTGGCAGAAGTGGTGGCAGGGAAAAGGTGGTAGAGGATGGAATTTCTACTCATTGAGAGCTGTAGAGATAGTTAGTAGCTTCGAGTGTGTGTGGTTCCATACCCACACTTAGGTTCTAGTGTGTGTGGTTCCATACCCACACTTAGGTTCTAGTGTGTGTGCTTCCATACACACTAGAACCTAGTTTATCCTAGTTTATGCTTTTGTTTGAGTTTTATTCTAAATAGGATTAGAGTAACTCCTATTCTTGTAAGGAGATTAATCTATACAATAGAAATTATGGGGTGGCAGAATCAACAAAACGAACCCCTTTCTTCTCCTCTCTCTCTTCTCTTCTTCTTTCCTCTTCTCTTCGAAGAGGAGCCGTTTTCTTCTTTTTCTGAATTACAGTAGAACAGAAGTCTACTCTCTTATTCAAGTTGGTATATCCAATTGAGAAAATTGTCATTGCCATGGTCTTCTAATAATCCTGCCTTCTATAAAATACTTTAAATGCATTTTACCTTCAACAAGGTGGTTCAGGTACTGGTAGATGACAACAGAGATCCTTCAAGGATGAAGGTCCCCATGAGACTAGTGTGAGGTAAATGGGAGATCTGTTTTCAGGGTTGACACAATCAACAATCAACAACCAAAAGGCCACTACTTTCTTTTATAACAAAGCCCTAGATTGAACGGAAAGGTACCCATGAATGTGAACCATCTATGTGGAGAACGCTGCTCCCAGATGATAGAAAAGGAATAAGGGTTGCTGAATGATTAGGATGCATCTTGCTTTGAATGTGCTGTTCAAAGCATCCTTAATTCCATAAGAGGGGAACAAAGGACCAAACTAAGGTGTATCTGACATATACAACTAAAAGAAAATAATTTATTCCAGTCCACCAGCAAAATTCAGCAGCTATCACCTTAAAACCAATGACAGCACCATTCTTAAAAATGCTTTGTTAACTCTAATTCAAGTAATGTGTGATTCCTTAGCAAAATGCCTGCTGTCAAATGTATGATTTTTCACATAAGGAAAAAAGGAAAATATGAATTTTAGAGAATGGAAGAGGGACTCACGTCATCTGGGTTGATGGCTCTCCAACAGACTGAGCAGCAACCACACCCACAGGTTCTCCAGGCTGAGCAAGACTGGAAATGTACTTGCTCCTCATTAACTTCATGAAGTCCTTTCGCTTCCTTAAATTAAGTGACTTCAACTTTTTCTTTGAAAGGGTGTCTATATAATCTTTTGCTTTACCTTCAAGTGCAACTGGCAATTTCTTAATATAATCATATTTGAACAAGACTTCACTGTCAAGTTGATTGTTGAATCTTTCTTGAACAATCCTGTGATTCTGAAAGCCAGAAAATAGGTAAGCATACTAATAAGAGAGCCTAGAGAATAATTTCCCTTTGAAATATAGATTTAGAAAAAGGAGGTTAAGGTTCATACTGCAGCCAAAGCCTCAAATTCCTCAAGAAAGCTTGTCTTATGGACATCTATACCATCTTCTCCATAAATGAATTGGACAACAGAACCATCTGCATCACGAACAGTATAATCATAACAGACTTTTAAACCCTCCAGATTTTTTACAAGGCATCTCTGCAGGTATCCACTGCGGGATGTTTTGACAGCCGTATCAACCAACCTACAGATGATAAATATATCAGTTAGGATGCAATTTACAAGCTAACAACAATTAGCCATATGTTTAGATACAAACAGAGTATAACACAAAGAACATGTTTGCATTGCGAAGAACATGAAACAACTAAAAAATGTGTATAACCATGTCCTAAAAACACATAGCACTAACATGCAAAGCCAATTGCCAATGACAGCATCAGCTGAAAATGTTGAAAGTGATACTTGGAAGGACGACAAGCACACTTGGACTGTATAATGCGGGCACCATTACTTTTTTTATTAAACCTGCAAATAAGAGTCATGCAACCCATGGAAAGGCACGAGATGTGACCTTTCCTTGAAAACTAGTTACGGAATTATAAGTAGGCACCATTACCATTTACCAATTTAGATAATCCATTCAGAATTTTTCATTATACAGATGCTATATAACAAGAAAACAAAAAGTGGGTCAATGAAAACCAATTTAGGCCAGTTGCATTAAAAATCATGGAAACAAGGAAAAGCAATTCATGCAAACACCCAGCAATGTGGAAGTTACAAATATCTGTACAGCATCATATGTATAATCATATAGATAGATCTCATAAAGGAAACACATAAGCTTTAATCATGGCCATTTTAAGGAATAAAGTTCATAGTTTTTCTTCTCAAAAGAATTTTCCTCAGATAGCTGACTGAAAGAATACGATATGTGAAGCAAAATGGTATTGGGACACTTATGCTGTAAAAATTAGAACAGGAAAAAAACATTATATGTGCAGCAATAAATGAAGCTAGCAAAAGAACTTTACTTTTTAAATCCAGTGCTGTTGCAATCAATTAAAACAACTAACAAATGCAATGCCAATATTTACATATAATGACTCTTGTAAGGCATGATTTAAATTCTGGTAATCTGATCAAATTTGGGATCAGATTTGGTGTGGGAAATCCTCTTTGAAGGACTTCTTCCCCTCTTTGTTTGCTTTCTTGTGTTTCTAGAATGAGCCTAGTTCTACTTTTTTAGTCCCTTCAAACTCAATTAGGCGGTGTTTGGAATCGGTGTAAATCAAGAACGATGTAAAAGTTTACACTTGTTCGGTGTTGTTGGTGTTTGGAAGGAGTGTAAATGAAGATCGATGTAAAACTCCACTCCGGTTTAGATTTACATCGTGAATCGATGTAAAACCTCACCAAGCATAAAGCTTTACATCGATTATCAATGTAAAACTTTACACTTTTTATGACGATTTCAAAATGTAATGGTTTACACCGGATCCAAATGAATCCTTAATGCTTTTGACTCGAACCATGGCCCTAGAAAAGGAGTAAGGAATTCAGAACATGATAGTGTGCTCACATTGATTCAGACCCTTGAAGGAATTTTCATTGATCCTACTAAACCTGATGAAAGAATTTGGACACCTTCCTCTTCTGGTCTTTTCTCCTGTAATTCTTTCCTCAAAATTTTAACCNCCCCCCCAAGTTCCCTCTAATCCTTTCCTGCCAGGAGGTGTGGTGCAATCCCATCCCACCTAGGGTTGGGACTCTTAGCTGGGAAGTTGTACAAGAAAGAATAAATACTTTTGATGGCTAGAAAGAAGAGGAAAAAGTGGTGCCTTTCCATTAATTGGTGTATTCTTTGTAAGGCTAACATTTTTGTATTTATTACCTGTCCATTTGTTGTTGGCTTTGGGCTTAGCAAGGATAACAGCATCAAAGATTTTGGCAAGGATAAGAGGAGGTCCATTTGGCATTGGGCTTACAAGATAGTATGGAAACCATAGTTGTCAAGGCGACGCCTAGGCGACAAGGTGCCCTTGGAGGCTCGCCAAGCCGTTTTGTATATTGTCTTATAAAATACTTTTATATTGTTATTTTTTGAGATCATAATTGTAAAATAGACATTATTAAACACAAATACTCATTTTTTGTGTTTATAAACTAATTTATTTTTATTATTTTATTATTTTTAGGGTTAATAAACACAAACATTGCAAACTGCTGTATTGAACCCTCAAGGACTTCAAAATCTGAACCAACAAGTAAGGGAAGAATTTAAAATTATGACTAATCAACACATTTCGTCTTCCACATCTTCTTCTTCCACCTTTTCTTTTCTTCTTTTCCTATAACAAAAATAGGGGTTCAGACCCTATATTTTTTGAATTTTCTTTTCTTTCTTCTTTTTCTTCTCATAAATATGTTGATTTTCTAGACTTAAACAGAAGTTTTATAATTTTCCTATGAAAATTATGGATAGTTATTAAGTAAAGATGGTTATGGAACCTAGGGAACTACCCTATGATATGTGGTTTAAAAACATCCATCGCCTAGTCACCCACCTAAGTGCAGGGGTGTCCATAAAAAACCGAAAAACTGAACCAAACCGAGAAAACCGAACCACAAAATGCGATTAACCAAACCGATCGGTTTGGTTCGGTTTGGGATTTTTGAAAAACCGAAGGACTGGTTCGGTTTTCGGTTAACCTACAAAATAACTGACGTTTAACCAAACCAACCGGTATATATATTTTTAAGTAAATTTTATATATATTTTTTATATATTTTCTATGTATTATATATAAATATATTCATTATATATATAAATATATGCTTATATTACATTTATTATGATGTATTTATAAATATGTTATATATTTTTCAAATATTTATAATATATTATATAAAATTATTTATTATATAATATTATACATATATTTGTATAATATATATTATAAATACAAAAAACCAAACCAGTCAAAAACCGAAACCAGCGGTACCGATTCGGTTTCGGTTTGGAGAATTGGAAAAACCGGTACCACCAGTTCGGTTTACAAAAAAGCGCCATGGTTTGGTTAACCTAACCGTGGACACCCCTACCTAGGTGACAAGGCGTCCCCTTGTCACCTAGCCTCACCTTGGCGCCTTGAAAACTAAGAAGGAAACACAAAAATTGAACCAGAAGAAGAAAATGCATTCAAAAATCAAACAAGAAGACTGATTGAATTGGAGACCACCAAGGGGCTTGGGTTTTGATTTGGGCTCTTGTTGGGTGGTGATTGTTGGAGCTTGGGGTTTGAAAGGGAGTTGTTTTGTTTGTTTTAATGACCGGGGTTTAGTTGTTTGTTTTGTATCGCTTTTGTTTAGGGTTCTTGGCATGGTCAGATTTTGTTTTATTTTAGTTGGGTTTTCTTTGGGAGTTTCATTTCCCTTGGGTGATTGCTTATCACCTTTCCTTGTACCTTCTTTTGTTTAATAAATTTTTCTTTATCTTCAAAATAATAATAATAATTTGAGCAGTGTGGGAAGAAAGAAATGCAAGAAGTTTTAGAGAAAAGGGAAGAACAAAGGAAGCCTTGATTGAACTAGTAATGATTAGAGTGGTTCACTGGCTGAAATCTTTATAAAGCTTCTAACATATCTCCATTGGTGACATTATTAGAAAATGGAAGGAGGCAGCAGACTCAAATGTCAATAAACAACCTATTATCCTTACCTGGTCTCCTCCTGAGAGAGGAGGATGGTAAAGTGCTTGCACTAAGGGCGGAAGTTATGGAAGGGGTGCAAAGAGATAGAATCATGAATATTAGAAAGCTAACTATTGAAGGGGATCCCAAACTGGTAGTGGCTTGACTACTTGATGAGGAAAGAAGGATGTGGAAATATTTCAAAAGGGAGATATTAGAGGATTTGTCTCTCACTGACTTGATTTTGTACAATTACATCTAAATTGAACGAATTTAATAGTTATTGATCAAAAAAAAATATTTATATACAATTTCAATGTAATAAATTCAAAGTATAAAAAAAATAAAACATCCAATGGAAATTTAAGAAAGTGAGAACTGAAATTTAGGTTTACCCTTCACGACCAGCCATGCAATGAAAATAATATTCTTGAGGACGAAGACCTGTAAGGAAGCGATCACTAATAAAGCCTCCAGCCCGTGACGCAGGATCCCAAGGAGGAAAGCAAGGTAAGGTTTTGCCAGAGACCATCCGAGGGACACGTTTGCCTTCCAACTCTTGTTGGCCTAATAAAGAACATATTTGTGTAGAATTAACCTGCTCAAAGCACAATAAAATTAGTGAAACCTAAATCACTACATAAAACTAAATAATTAGGCACATTCAGAAGGCAATCAATGTCACAACAATTTATTTTATTTTGGTAATAAATAAAAAAGAAAACTTTTATTTAAAAAAAAAAAGAGATATACAAACAGGTGACAACCCTTCAGCACTAGATTTTAATTAAAGAATAAAAATACCCAAAACCTTTAATAGACCAAAAAAATCAAACAAAATCCTACACCCAAAAGGGACCCCAAATCCTTTAATAGACCTCGCCCCCATAAGGTCTTTCCATAGCATATCCCTCCATAACCCTCTCCAGATCTATCTTCAATCAACAGATACCTTTCCTCCATGTTCTTGAAAAGCTTCCTAGTGGTTTCTTTCCCTTCCAACACTCAGAATCCTAAAACCTTATTTACTTGAACTGCTTTTTCAACTACCATGGACACTTCTACTTTCTTCTCTACCATTCTAACTCTGTCCAACATATCTCCCTCCTCTTCCTACTACTCAAAATTATCTTACTCTGACATCTCCTTTTCTCCAACTAACTTCTCTTCGGTTATATTGTTTTCCCCTAAACGAACTTCCTGCCCCCTTCCCTCCACCTCTCTTTGCAAGGTTTTTTTCTGATTAACAGTATTGAGTCATCTCACAATCTCTTTTTCAAACTAAGTTTTGACTTATCACAGATGCTACTTCCAGCAAAGATCATTTCGTTACTTTTAGTCTTCAAACTTTTCTCTTATATGTTCTCTTGATTTTGCTACAAGAGCCATCCTCAAAAATTCCTTTCTTCAAACCTTTCTCTACCAAGCCTCAAACCTCAGAGATTTAACATGCCCTTCTAATGAAACTTTCTTTCTTTTCCATCCTAATTCAACCCCTAATTTTCTAATAGTAACCTGTGTGACAGTGGGATGATTTGGCAACACCCTTGTCCTTGTGCTAACTTTCCATCTTATACCGTCTTTCAGTCACTAGCATGAGAGGTCACAATTGGATCTTCAGAATCAAAACCAAAATGCTTCTCTTGCTCTGTCCTATTGTTATGTGCCTCCATCAGTATCTCCCCTGAAGTATCTCAAGTGGTTTTCTGTTCAGGCTCTAGAGGTTCTAATTCACAAGCCTCCATAGCCTGCTCCTGGTTCTCCATCAAGAGAGAACCCTTCACAGCATTACCCAAACTGCTTAAACCACCACCCTTAAAGCAAGCAACGTTAACTCCTCCTTCACGCTTCATAGAAATGGTTCTGTTTAATAGTCTTCTATGCTGCAAGCTTACTCCTGTGATAGGATTAGTAGAAGAGGATGACAAACCGAAATGAAGGTTCATCAACCTGCTCACAACCCTCCCCATCATGTGTTCATTTAAAGTATCATGTGACCTTGTCAGATTCAACTTTACCAGGCCCCACAACAAGAACCCCGCCTCTTGAATCAGCCAGCCCATTCTCATTATCCACCTCTTGAATCAACCAACTGACCCACTAGATCTAACTCAAGTTAAGGTTTCCCTTACTGATTCAATATACCCTAGCTCAACAGTTCTAGAATGGGTCAGCTCCATTTCCAATCTAGGCATTAAAAGCACCTCCTCAACAGCCCTTTGAAACTTTGAATTAGACTCTTCACTGAATACTTAAGAAAAAATCAACAAAACTGCCCAAACTTTGCCCTAGCTACTCTTTATAGACTTCTTTACACCCTTATGTCTCCTACAAGAAAGTTTCCTAATCTAATTGAACACTCCTTATTAGAGTCCTAAATCTCCTCAAAAAGAAAGTCCTAATTGAAGACAAATTTGAAAATCCCTCTGTAACGCTAACTTGGTAAATACAAATTAAGACAGAAATTCCGTGGAGGTGCTAACTTGGTAAAAATGAACTAAGATGGGTTGTCGAAGCCAACTTAGTAATTGTTTACTCAGTTCGGCCGAATCCCGTACTGCATCACATAGCAACTGCTTTCATCCTTGCCAAAAAAATTCAAGCAATGCAATGAAGTTACCCCTTTCATTCCTCTGTGCTTCATATCTTCTTTTTTCCACTTCCTTGAAACTCTTCTATTCCAAGCTTTTACCCCTGCCTGAGGCAACCTCGAAGAGACCTACCCACCTACCAAAAATACCCAAGACTTTTCAACTCCCTAATCTTCAAAGAGACCAACCTGCCTACTCTGACTTATTCAAAAATGAAATTTTTTGCCTCAAAACTCACTAGCCTTCTCCACAACTAAGAATAAGTCCAAAACAATGGCAGAGAGAAGGGAAAAACCCACAAGAGAAAGTTGTGTGTCCCCCTGATATGCACCGAGCATATTATTTGTCTGAAATACAGTGTTGTAGCCATCAAAAACAACTTTGTAGACAGTGTTTGCTTGTAGCCACTTTGTTATATTGGCAAGTTGATAGGAAGGCAAAGTGTACAAAATACATTACAATACCCAACAAGATCCTGGGAGGAAATAGTATATACAAAAAGAGACTAAAGCTCCTACTTGTGTACAGTGTTTTAAAAGCACAAGGTGCAACAACCATATTGCGTCTGAGGCAAGAGGCGCGTGCCTTTAGAAGCAAGGTACAAAAATACAAAACAAATGCTAAAAAAGTCAAAAAAATGTTACAAAATTAAAAAATGCCAAAATTTTCAAAAAATAAAAAATAATAAACAGAATATTAATAAGAAATATAAACCTAAATTTTAAAATTAATGGTTTAAAAAACCTATTATCTAAAATTAAAATACATAAACATAACATGTAAAGCATATTCAAATGAAAATTTAAAAATAAAATCAAACATATAAAACATTTTCAAGCATGTAAAGCCCACAATCTCTTTTTTCCCTCAATTGCATTACTCCAAGTAGCTAATGTGATGTAAAACATATTGCATTCCTGATTCTACGAGTCACCCTTGTGCCACGCCCCTTGAGGCAAGCTCAAACATATTACTTACTTTATGTAAATTCCTTTGTGCTTACACGATATATCAAGGTGTATCTACAAATTAAAATTCTAAGTGTTGGGAGTTTTGCTTGCCTTGCTTCTAGTAGCCAACAAAGGATTCAGGACAGATAGTTCCCAAGATGAGGATGATAAATATAACAGTAGCAGTACTAAGTTCTTGTAAGCCACAACATTATAACCTCAGCCTACCTAATACTGTAACCCATACATGAAATTAATGACCAAAGTCCTACCAAATACAGAACTATATTTACATAATCTAGAGATTTCACATGTGCTTGAAACCTTGAACCATTTTAAACTTGATTCTAATTTCCCATTTACAGTTCCCACCTTTAATTTTCATGTGCCTTGTTAATAACGTTTTTTACATATTTGCCTTAAATACCAAAACAAAAAACTCTCTTTACATACTGATGATGAGTTTATTTTATGAAAGTACACTTGGTTTTGTTTTGTGTTTATCTTTGGGTAACTTACAAAAACACCCCCTATAGTTTGTGTAATACTAAAACACCCCTTATAGTTTGCAACCTATTTACTTAATCAACCTTGCTTTAGGCAGAAGTAAAAAATGAAGTAGCTTAAAAGAGCTGTTTCGTGAATATCCTTTTCTATTTAGAACTAATAAACTGATGTGGTAAATCTACATTAACATAGTTGTGAAGGCACAAAGGCGAGGCTAGGCAATAGGAAAGTACATAGTCACCCAGGCAACTAGGCAATGATCATTTATTTCGGTAAATTATAAAAACCTCCCTATAGTTTTGAAAAAAAAGTGCAAATACCTTCCTTCTGTTAGCTTTCCAAATGAACAATGTTAACATAATGCATTAAGTTTTTTAAATGTCAAACTTACCCTTCAATCAACTTGATTAGATGCACATTTACTAAAATACCCCAAAAAGGCTTTTCTTTGTTTCGTTTCAGCCTTTTCTACTGAAACAGGGCAATTATGATGATTTAATGCACCCACCAAAATTTGTCAACCGAACAATGTTGCATCAATTGGAGAAGGCAGTCAAAAACTTGAAGTAAAGTTAGCCCACAGTAGAAGCCAGCTAAAGTTCAGTTTTAACTGCCACAGCAACGGTTCTTCCCTTGCATGCCATGGATTCTACCTACTCTTTTGAAGCTATGCCTACTGTTGGGTTTGTTGACAGGAGAGGTTCTAGTAGTAAGTTTGGAATTTCTCTGCTCCAATAATAAATCATCCATTCGTTCGATCAAAAATGGAAAGGATGATAATTGTAAACAATCATAATCACATTGGGAAACTGGTTTATTGGCTTCTATCTAGATTATGAAGACACTGAAAAGTGAAGAATTTGAAATCGAAGATATCCACCCACGATGAATTTTTTCTCCTTGAACTTCCCTCCAGTTAAGTAGTTATTACGGGAAAGATCCATGAAAGAACCCATGTACCTTCCACTCTACTATCTGCAGCAGGGTAATGAAAACATGCTTAACACTTTTCACCAGATTTCCAAGTTTGGGACATTTCAGACCAGCAAACTTGGACAAATAGCCCTTTGAATGTTCCATGCCTTTGCCATTACCTTTGACTTCTTTCTCCTCTTTTCATCATTGATCTTCTTGATCCCCTCTTGACTTCCCAAAGAACAGCCTCCTTTAGCAGCATCTCGGATCTCAGCTTGCTCAGTTCTCTTCCAGATCACCTCCAAGGTAGGACTTACAATTAACCTTACGGATTTCTAGTGGTTCAATGCCTCTTCTTTACAGACTCAATCGCAATGCCCTTATTGTGCCATTTCCCATACACAGCTGTCTAAGAAAGATAGGATGCCTTAAGTCACTTGTGCAAATACCTCTTGCACTTTGAACTGGCAAAGACTAAAACCTTAGAATCTCAACGATCAAATCTGACACCCTCAACGAGATATATCTTTGGAACTGTTGAAGCAGAAGAGTTCAATCTTCAAAACCATCACTGTTACTCCTGTTTGCATTCAACATCTCCCCCCATCCCAGCAACCCTTCGTGATGTTCATGGCCCTGAGACCTGAAATTCCAAGATTTGACCATGATGGACCACAAATAATGCACCCACACCACAGTATATTATCTTGGTAATTCATAAAAATCCCAATCAACTCCTTTGTTTGAAAAGATCCCAAGTTATATCATCCAACAGTAACTATTATAAGCATTAACCTCCCGAATTGGATAGGAGAAATAGTTAGGAACGTTTAGAACAATACCAACATCTGAAGTCTGAACCAAGAAGCTACCCAGTAACCAGAGAGAAAGAAGTCTTGCAATGTTATGACTAGTGCCTCGATCTGAGCGGTGAACAACCTCCTCTGAAGCCACAACTTGGGAAAGCAAACAGCAATAGACATATGGTTTCCCTACTTTGCAAAGTAAAGCAATTACAGGTGAAGTTAAGCATTTTAAATTACAGAAAGGTTAGAGGTAGGGAGGTATTTGCACCTTTTTTAAACACTATAGGGGAGATTTTTAACAAAGTCAAAATAGAAAGGAGGCATTTGCACCTTTTTTAAATACTATAGGGGAAATTTTTACCCTCCTTATTCAACACATCTAGTTAATTTTGTAATTATTAGCCACCTTTTCTACAGGTAGCTAGTTTCCCAAGTTGAATTGCAATGGTCAAACATTAAAATGATGTAAAATGAAACAAATTAAACATTAAAAGTACAATAAAAACAGTTACAAAAGAGAATACAGAAAGAATATCTATGTGTTTGTGACTGTGCTTCATAAGAGAACAGAAAAACAAAGAAACAATGAAAGAGATGAAGACCCTGCTAAAATATAGCAAATATATAGTCCTAACTCCTAGTTACTTAGAAAGATAAGTGATTATAGAAAAAAAAAAAAAGGAACATGTGCTTCAGTGTGAAAATTACTGACGCCCTACTTAGTTTGCAAAACCGGGACAAGTAGAAGAAGAGGTTTTTCATGACAATTCCATTATGAAGGCCACTTGCTAATGACCTACCACAGTGAATACATTACTTCCCTATTTTTTTATCAATAACACATTACTTTCCTATTGGCATTGTGGTTCACCTCAAAACCATTGAATGGATTGAAAATCGATGTCTTATAAAGCTACTGCACACACATTAGCTCTTATTTATACAACATGGCACAAGAAAACGACAAATAAATGCCTCACCATTTAAGCATTGGCTTGACAAAATGGACATTACTCGTTGTATAAAAACAGACTCCAAAGAAGAAATCTCATGTCCAATCTAGGACTATAACCAGTAAATGTGTTTTATCGTGAAATTGTGCTTCCTTACAGGTGTTTTTCCTTGTAAGAATCAATAAAGAAAAAAGTTCAAAGTATATTCAGCACGGATGCCATGTCCTGGCAACACAACATACGAACTATAAGAAGCATTGCTAATCTAGACTTAATTTAAATAAAAAAAAAAACCATAAAAGACTTACTAAAATAATCTAAATTACAATGATTGAGAGAACACCATTTACTTACCATACCACCTTTAGCTCCAGTTGCAGTCATGAGAGAAAGGCAGTTCTTTGGAAAGGGTTTGCATAACCCCTCAGGAAATAAATTCTTATTAACTTCAGAGGTTAATTTATTCATAGCACCAGACATTCGTCTATCCAAGCGAGTAACTGCAGAGTCACCATTCCTACGTATAGCCTTCTCAATCTCCACCTGCAGCTTAATGGGATCTACAAAAGCAAGATAACAATACTATAAGAAAATATATACACCAAACCAACTGCATATCTAGAAATGAGCATAAATGCACCTTTACCATTAAATAATACAGATGGGGATTCTTTTTCGGTGATTTAATGAGTTCCTAATCTTCAATATAAAAAATTAGTTTAGAGTTCAAAATCAAACTGCAAAACCCATTCCACAACCTATATTCATTGAAGAAGTTCCACACAAAGACATATGTCATGTATTAGAACAAGACCATTTTATAGGTTTTATTGAAAAAGTGAAATTTTAAATGAGTTGATAGTAGATGAGCAGATTTTTGAAGGAATTGTTAGTAGACAAAGTGACTAAGATGGCAATGGCAATAAGAGGCATAATGAAAATAAGAGGTAATAAAATTGTTTCTTAACCATCAACAATGGCAATTCCTGCTCAATATGCCTTTCCCAAAAGATCCCTATCCAGGGCCGGCAACATGAACCATCTCCTACTACTTCAATCCTATTCCACCATTTCACTGTGTTGTATGTCATATCAATTGTTAATTTATGGGTATTTAAACCATTTCCTACTACTTCAATCCATGTCCTTTGACTCCTTTCTGGTATATCCCTAGCCCTTTTCAACTTGTTATAAATCACTTTTTCTCCCTAATTATATCACCTTATTGAATCTACTCATAGGTTCCACCAAATGACATCATTCTGACCCTATCCTTTCTAGTTCTTACACTCATCCATCTCAGCATATGCATATCTGCCCACTCTTTTTTCAACGTGTTGCTTTCTTGACAGTCCAACACTCTGTTTCATGCAGCATAGCTGGCACTACAACTGTTATATAGAATTTTTTCTTTTAACCCAAGTGCTATTTACCAATGACACAAGACTCCAGATGCACCCCTCCATTTTGCCCATCCTGCACTAATTATATGGGCAACATACTCTTCAATCTCTCCTTTGTTATCAATTGTCAAACCAAGGTACTGGAAGAGGTCACTTTGAGTTACCTCTTGGTCTCCAATCCTAAGTCTACCCTTATTTGCAATCCTATTATTTTTAAATCTATATAACATATACTCTGTTTTAGTCCCTTTTTTATAAAGATGTTCATCCTGATTATAAAGCTTGTTGCTTTTAAGGTATTTGTACATAAACATTATTTTGCAATTAATCCTTCATTTCTCTGATTACCCATGTACTCATAAACATTATTTTGCAACGAGTCTTCAAAAGATCCCTAATCAGACAGGAAATATGAAACAAGGTAAGAAATCATTCCCTCCTCATAACTTAAAGGACATTTTAATATGAGAACATTCGTTTAGACATTGAAAATCTAAACATTACATCGCTTATGAAAATCAAGTCAAACCTTTATCACCATCTGCACAACCAACAAACTGCCAATGCTCAAATTCACCAATTTGTTCATTCTTATCAAGTTTTTTCATCCTTTCCAAGTCATAACGGTGTACTATTAAAAGATCATCTATTCCACATGTAAACCCGTGCATCTGCAACGTAACTTATAACATGTTAACAATTACTTTTATGACAAAAAAAAAAGGTTCAATGAGAACAGTAATCAAGACTGAAGTAAACAAATTTACCTGCAAAAAAATGGTAAATAAGCGGCTTAGCACTGAAAGCAAGACGCCTGCAGCATTTGAACCATAAAGCTCTTGCACTGTATGAACTAAACCATAACCACCAAACTGTGCTTTGTCAATAACCCCATGCACAAGCTCGTTTTTGTGAATTAATAACTCATATTCACCACTTGTTTTCCCAAAGTACTCTTCCGGAGTTTTCCCAGCCTTTCTAACACTAAATGGTGTACGACCTCTGGTTATATGATTTAGCACTGCAGTAATAACCTAAAAGTTCACAAGAACAAATAAACATTAAATTCATGCAATTCACATAAACAATTTGGAAATAGCACAACAACAAACTTATACACATTATAAATTATCATGCTATAACCCACTCTAATTGGTCCTGACACCACCTAAATTTGGAAAATTAAACATTGATGGATGCAGTCCAGAAAATCAATGGACTTCAAGAATTGATGGGGAGTTTATAAAGGAAAGTATTGACATTGTTAACATCCTTAACTGACCAATTAGGAATGGGATTTCCACTCAGGAAGAATAATTGACCTCAAAAATAGGGATTGAGAATAGGACATTCTGTTGGGTACAGCAACATGGACGTAGAAGCAGATTATAGTGGCAAAAAGGGTGGCTGATAAATGTAAAGGAAAACACAATTTGAGAGATTAAGAGTAGCTGGGTGGTCAGCCCATGCACATGTGTTTATAATGTAAAAGTACCTGTACAAAGAAAAAATCCATTACAAGTTTAAGGGGCCAGAACCAGCAGGATTAGGTCAATACCATATGGCTGGAGCTGTACAAAAAAACGGTTTAAGCACTGATAGTTTAACAATAGATATGGCATTAAACAGAATGAAAGGTGAAACCCAATTCATGTAAACAACCCCATATGGCTGGAGCTGGAATAAGGCTTAGATGAAGATAATGATACCAAAATAACTCAATACTTACCCCCAAGCAGCAAATCGTTTACAGCCCAAAAAAAGGGGAAAAAGACTAGGTGCTAAATAAGGTGAAGAAATTCTTCATGAAATGCTCAAAATTATTAAATTTCAGTGAAATCAGCACAGCTCTCCAATAATCAGGTAACATGAATAGATTCAGCCTAAACCCCCAAAAATTCCCATCCAGGTAAATGAATTGTCAAACACCCAAACTGGAAATTTTCCGGGTTTTCAAAAAGAAAATTCTTGAAAAATATCTAACAGTTCCAATGAACTTGTCCCAGCATCAAAAAATCATCTAAAATCACCCTTGACCAAGATCTAGGGTTTTTTTAGGAGTCACTGCCATCTTAACAACGAGCTCACATCCTGCAACAGTAATGATGACATTATCACATCGTTGGGTGTGTGGTCACAACCGAAACTGAACAATGCATTGATACCCATTTCAGGCAAGTTTGAGATTTAGCTGTGAGGATATAACTGAGTGATTATGAGAAAAAATTGGCCTTAACCCTAATCTCTTTTCTCAAGAGTATTCGTCTGAACCCCCAATTATGAAGGAAGAACCTTTTTCTTGTTCCTCCTTTTGAAGCAATTATGCCTCCCCATCCTCTCCCAAGGGCTTTCTGGCTAAAGCAATTTGGAAGCGAAAGGTTACATAGTGTCAAGAAGTTGATCTGCTTATAGTGCTTTTGGCACTGTTTATAGGATGTTTATATGGATTTTATCTATTGCTGCGTAGGGGGTCATTTGGTCTCTTCACTTTATTAAGGACACTCCAGTCATTATTTTATACTAAACAGGAATATAATTGTAAAAATAAGTATTAGTGAATAATATTACTGACCCGCCAGTCAGAAGAGATTAACTAATTCTAATCTCAACTAAAAGCAAGACTGTTGGTTTCTCTTCTCAGCGTATGGTTATAGCTGCTTCTCTTCTCTGCTGAAACTAGGTTCCAACAGGTTTCATGGTAAAGAGCAATGACCAAACATGATTGGAGATTCTCATCATTTTTTATCCAATATTCTTCTCATCTTCTTTCTCTATCTGTTCTACTCCATCTCTTATTTTTTTTCTTTTCCAGTTCCATAAGTAGAACTAAGAATTAGATATGAGACAACTGCTTCTTAAAAAAAGATGGGTCCCATAGAATGGTTCTAACCATCACTGTGTGTGGTGACTGTTTGGTAAAGTAAGACCCTCAATTAGGGAAATCCAAGAGGGGTGACATGACTGATAGTGAAAGAGCACAGGTTGTGAAAAGTGATACATATGTCTGTAGTACATGTGAACTGAGTTACGATCAGTTTATAGCAGTATGTGCGATTGACCTGCAACTACTCTTCTGAATCAGTGAACTTTTGGAGGTTCTTTTGTTGAATTTTTGCTCCAAGGTGATAAGACCTTATGAATAGTTTCTTTTGTGCACAATCCCTGGTGTCGTTGAATATTGGTAATCAGTTTTTGATAGGATGCAGATGAAAGCTTCTCCTATGGTGTCTGCAGACTTCTTTCCAGCACAGATAACAATCACTAAATTGAATGTTACAAACTATGCCCCATGATCCAAATCTGGGGAAGTTTTCTTAATGGGAGAAGGGAAGACGAAGTGCTTATTTGTGGGAAAACCACAAGCAGATAAACCCAAATATGCCGAATTGGTGGAAAAGGATGTGTAAATCTGAAATTGGCTGTCAAATAATCTGGAGCAACCATGACCAGTGGTAGCCTAGTTTTCATGGACACAGCAAAGAGTTTTGGGTTCAAAAGGATGGATTCCAGAAGCGACACATAACCATAATTTATCAATTAATTCAGATTTGAATGGCATTTGTAAAGAGTTAAACATTTATCAGCCCATATCAATTGATTTTAGAGTGATAATAAAGCAAAGGGATGACCTTTGCAATGAGTATGAAATAGTTAGAGTTCAAATTCTTGGCAGTCTTGAGTTGCCTTCTCTTCCAAATGTCTTTTCTAGACTTCAGCCAGCTTGCACCTTTGGGATGAAAGAGAGGTTTGCATTGGCAACAATGGGATGAGTGGGACAAGGTATTGGTTGTGGTTGCAGTTGTGGTTGTGGTGGAAGAGAAAATATACATGGAGTACATGGCAATGACACATCTGGTGGATGTCATTGTGGCCAAAATGGTAGATGGCAATGACACAACACTATTAAGCTGGCACAACCAAGTATCAACTCTATATGTCTTATGTCCAGAACTGCTGCTCCTTGGATAGCTAATTCTGGAGCATTTAACCATATGACAAGTACTCTACTTATTTGTTCATTTAAATCCTTCATAAAACCTGGTCCCAAATTAGCTCTCTAATCCATAATATGTGTTCCACAGTTTCGTTTAAATTTAATGTTTGCCAGCAAGTTATCTAAATCTTTTAACTGATCAATTACCATCAACTTTTTTTTGTAATTTTCAGGATCTAATGATGAAGAGGACAATTAGAGGCACACATGAGTCTAGAGTACTATACTACTTTGACGGTGATTTGGAAAGCACAACTTTACATTTCTCAACTTCTTCACCTCTCTGGCAACACTGTTGTCTTGGTCACCATTCATTGCACAATCTCAACCATTTAGCCCTTCCATAGAGCCATTTTCAGTTTTTAGATTTTGCCGCATGCCAATTTTGTAAGAATCAGTGAAAACTTTCTTCCAACTAAAGTCAACAGTCAAGTGTCCAAGAAGTTTCAATTTGTGCAGTTAAGTTTCTGTGGGCCTATGAGGTATACTTTTTTTTAATAAGCATCAAGGAAAACTTTAATTAAAGAACAGAAACCACACTGCTAAGAACCAAAGCTGGTGGCCAAAAATTACAACAGCCTTAGAAGAAGCCAAAAGAGGCCAAAAACAGCGAATGAAATGCCTCTTAGAAATTATAGCTGGTAACTAAGGATTGAGCCAATCTCACCAACTGTCTAAATTGCCAAGGTATTAGTTAATTCCTGAGAGTGCACCCATAAAATAACTGATTGACAGTCCCCCGCCACCACTACATTTGATAGCCCTTGTTCAGCCACCAGTTTAAGGCCTTGAATCAAAGTCAATAGCTTTTCCCTTAGAGAATTTATGAATCCAGCTGGCCCTGAAAAGTTAAGAATTACATTGCCAGCTGAGTCTCTAACCACTCCTCCCACTCTTGAGCTCCGAGGGTTAGGGATGCAAACAGATCAGATTGCATTGGAATCAGAGGATATCCAAATCTGATCCGACTTGAAGATTCAATCGGATATCATATAAGTCGATTCAAATCCAAATCCATGAATGATGTTGGATATAGGAATCTGAACAAATCCGATTTAACTTCCAAAAATTTTAATAAATTATTAAAAGAAAAAAATATAAAAGTCTCCATAAAGAAAAACAAAAAACACAAATATTTTTCAACTATTTTCATCATATATATTAATATATACATGACTTTCTATAAAAAACACAAAATTGCAATATAAACATATTTTCAAATAAATAAATACCTATTAAGGTCAGATCAGATTGTATTCTTCCTAGTGGGATAGGGGTGATCTGGTCCGAAAATCCGACAGGAGGATATCCGAATCGAACAAAAATAAGCTCGGATTCAGATCTGGACCGGATCATAATCTAGTCCATTTGCACCCCTACTCAGGGTTTCCCAGACAACACCCCTACTTACAACACCTGAACTTTTTGCAGTACCATGTTATTAGAACCTGCAAATCTGGAAAAAGGTTCAACCCTCTTAATAAATCATTCAGGCTTACTCCTCTACTTCTTTGTAATTTTCTTCAAATATTCTGCTATTTCATTCACTCCATAAATCCAACAACACTGCCCTTTTTACACATTACCATAAAATTTTCGGTCTTGGTTTAGAATATCTCATAACCTGTGGTTTGAACAGATCAGCTACCTCTGAAGGAGTTTTCCACTCTTTACCCACCAAGGAGAAAATATAATGTCAAGTCTGAGATTCATAAGAGCACTACAAAAAAGATGGTTGGCACTTTCCCCGTCTTTCCAGCATAGAACACAAACCTTTGGAGTCTGCCTCCCAACAAAAAACCTTTACTTTGGGGGGAATTAGGCGGGACCAAAATTCTTTATCTGGGAAAGGAAAGCTGTCAACTTGGTTAACAAGGAATTTAAAAAAAAAAAAAAAAACAGATGAACAAATGTGGTGGCTCTTTTACAGACAGGGTCCAGAGTCTCCAGACCCTCTCAACAACACCCAAAGGATTAAGGACAAATGTCTTTTTTTATCAATAACATTTAACTTCATTAAACTTTAGGAAAATTTAAGTACAACCAGGGGGAGGTAAACTATCTTAAGTCTCCTGCAAGCAAAACAGAAATCAAGATTAGAAATGAGCCCAAAACAAAGAATCCCTATTCACCCCTTGCTTGGCAAACCCATCAGAAAATGAGTTAGCAGTTCTCTCCACCAGTTCACCCCACTGCATTTTATCTCAATGTCTTTAGCCAACCACTAGAATTTTTTCTTTATTGCTGTAGTTCCAGATTCCAGTCGTCTTCCTTTAACCATCTCACAACCACCTCTGAGTGGAGTTCGGCTTCAGTCAGGGCAAGCCCATTTGAGCAGCTTTTACTGCCTTGCATTGAGAATATCTCCCCACTTGTGTGCTTTATTTCATGGGGAAATATTCTCAATGCAAGGTTGCAAAAGGGTGTTAGAAGGGTGTGGGCACAGGTTTGCCCTTTTGGAAGCCAATCTCCTCTGAGTGACCTTCAATTGCCAGCCTCCTAATGTTCAGTTCTCTTGCTCTTTGGATTCCTTCCAAGGCCACAAAGATCTCAGCCCTGAGAGAGTCACCTTGTCCAATTGGACCTGAGAGTAAATGGCTAAGACATTTCCTTCCTCATTCCTGACAACTCCCTCAATACCAGACAGCCCTGGATTCCCTATGCTACTGCCATCAAAATTCAGTTTTATGAAGCCAGAGGAGGAGAGATATAAGGACTTCAAACCCTCTAAATCTGGGCAGAATTTGCTATCCCTTTCCAATTTCTCATCAAGTCATCCAAAGTAAAACCTGTGAATAAGTCCAAGGATTTCAGCCAGTGTGCCACCAATATGTGAATCAACTCCTTTATGTTCTCAAGGATTAAGGGCAATGTCTTGTAGTAAATTGAACAAGGGAATCAATTCATTAATTTCAAGGTCTCTTAAATTCCTACTTAAACCCAAATCTCACACCACCCCTGAATTAATCAAGGAATAACATTGTCCTATAGGTCTACTTCTGTAGACAATTATTCAAGAATGACGTTAGGAATTGAACTCCATTTTCAACTCATTTTTATGAAAATTAAGACCCAGTTCAATTCAACTGTTTGTCTATTGCAATCAAATAATGTGGTTAATTATACTTCTCATCACGGTCCAAAATATCAATACTCTCAAAATGCAAATTTATACTTTTATTTTGACAACTCCAAGATAGATATGAAACACCGGATACGGGGTCTATCGTATCGATACTTTGAACCTTGCTTCTCATGCTTTTGTTGACTTCCTTAATTCTCACAGTCTCATACACCAAATATCATGTTACGACCCTACAACAAAATGGGGTTAATAAGAGAAAAAACTGCAAAAGAACCTTAGCGGTGGAGAATGGCACCATACTGTTCTTACGGAAGGAAAGGAAAGATGGCATATTTTAAGTAAACCACGGCCTTCATAGTATACATAAAGATATATTTGCATCTACAACAGAGTAGACTTTAGCTTATAAAGTCTTCAAGTAGATGAACAAATAATACCTTCATTCCAATAGGAAATAACTGGACAGCCCTTGAGGCATACTTTATCTTTAAGTCCTTTTTTTTCTCTTTTTTGGGTCAAATCCGTGTAAAAGCATCTCACCATCTCCTTCTGAGAAGCATCTTCCTCATTTCTACTCATGACTATTATCAATGATGGAGATAAAAATTTAACAAAAAAAAAAAAGAACGAAAGAAAAGCTAACCTGTTTACCCGTCCATAAGGGTTCTGGTTTCCAAATAGCAGGCAGCACAGGTTCTAACTCCTCTTCAGAATTTATGGTAGAAATCTTTTGGCCTGGTTTTCCCACAAAATATCCTAGTGCAGTAGCTGAGACACCAGAGCTGTATAGAAGCTGACTGAACTCATCCCGGGTTAAAAATGTATCCCTCTTTGTAAGAAGTACAGCGCTTATAATATGATCCTGGCCATTGAGAACAAAGGTTTTCATTTTTATTCAAGAAAATTTATGTTAAAAGATAATTTAAACTTCTAAGCATAATTGTCAAGGCAACATCTAGGTGACAAGGCCCCCTTGCAGGCTCACCTCGACCAAAAGCCTAAATATATATGACACTGCATAATATTTTTATATTTTCTATTGTATGTTATTAATAGTATTAGAATAGATTTATTACACTATATTATTCATTCTGTGAGCTTATATTATTATTATTATAATATAGAAAGCAAGATACCTTTCAAAAGAAGGCAAGTTGAAACTAATTAAAAGTGTTCTGTGATCATTACCAATGTATTGGCTTTATTCTCAATTTCCGATTGTGCAGAAAAAACAAATGAGAAGAGGATGAGAGGGTTTTTTGTGGAAGGGATGGAAGGAAGAGTGCAAACTTCACCTAGTCAAGAAAAGCTGGTGTTTAGGAGTGACAAGATCAAGAAAATTTAATCTGGCTTGTTTCGGCAAGTGGTATTAGAGGTGGAATTAGTAGCCTAAAAGTTTGTGGAGAAAATTTAATCTGGCTTGTTTTGGTAAGATATGGATCTAGAAGTTTCAGTTGGGACCAGGGAGAACCCAACATTTCTCATGGGTGTGCAGTTTGGAAAGGCATTCAGAAATCAGCATTGGATTTTAAAAAGGAAATTAAGTTTTAAGTTGGATATGGCTCAAGGGTAAAATTCTGGAAGGACTTGTGCGAAGACCAACATGGCAACATCTAAAGTTCAGATTTCCAACACCATATGAGATAACTCAAAAGAAAAACTGCATGACCTCAGAGGTATATTCACATGACAGGAATGCAGGTGACTGGTGTCCCACTTTCAGACAAAAACTGGATAACTGGGAAATAGCCCATTGGTTGGAGATGATGCAAGAAGTCAGTTCCACCACAACAGATTTCTCTAGGTCGGATAAAAGAATTTGGTTGGGGGAAGATCAGGAGTTTTTTTCAGTTAAATCTTTTTATAATAGGCTAAACAGTAATGAGGGTTATTGTAAGCCACTCTTGGAAAACGCCTAACAGCAGATATGCTTGCAAGAAAAGGAGTGAAGGTGGAGCCAAGTAGATGTAGGATGTGTGGGGAGGTTTCAAAGGAAGAGCAACTATTCATCCATTGCAAGCTCACAAGGATGGTTTGTGTAGGAGTTTTGGGGCAGTTTGAAGTCAGTTTCTGCTTTCCAAAGCATTTGAAATCCCTGATGCTTGAAGTTAAAAGGTTTGTTCAAGAATGGAAAAGTCTTGTGGGGAGTAACTGCGGCAGCAGTGATTTGGCCAAATATGGACAGAGAGAAATAGGGACTTTTTTAAAAAAAAATTCAATACAGTAGAGAAATTATTCAAAGGCTTATGGAATAGAATATACTCCTGGGCAGCAGTACATAGACAGTTAAAGGATACACTTCACAGTTCTTTTTTTTACAGTAGGAAACTTTTTGTATCTAGACCTTCAGTATAATCACTATCAAAATGATTATCCCCTCTGGAGCAGTGAAAACAATTAAAAAGAGGATGAGAGCCTTATTGTGGAAGGGATGGGAGGGTGAATCCAAATTTCACATAGTCAAATGGAGTAAGATGTGCAGACCAAGGAAAGCTGGTGGACTAGAAGTCAAAAAGATAAGAAAATTTAATATGGCTTGTTTGGGTATGTGGTTCTGTAGGTGGAATGAGCAAACTAACAGTTTGTGGAGAGGAGTTATTTTGGCTAAGTATGGTTCTAGCAATTTCAGCTGGGATCCAGGAAAACCAATATCTTCTATGGGTGTTCAGTGTGGAAAGGCATTCAGAAATCAGCTTCAAAGTTTTAAAAGGGAATCAAGTTTGAAATTGGTGATGGCTCAAAGGTGAATTTCTTGAGGGATTGGCGGTGTGGAGAGCACCCTTTGAAGAAGAGAGTTTCCAGCTCTGTTTGAGATAGCTCAAAATAAAAAATGCTTGTTGGCAGAGGCTTTCTCTCATGATAGGTCTACGGGCAATTGGTGTCCCACCTTCAGAAGAAATCTGAACAAGTGGGAAATAACTCAATGGATGGAAATGATGCAAGCAGTTGGTTCCATCAGCCCAGACTTATGTAGGCCAGATAGAATAATTTCGAAGAGAGAAACCACAGGGGTTTTCTCTGTTAATCCCTACTATAAAAGCCTAAGCAGTCAAAGAGAAGAAATTCAGCAGCAGTAATTTGGTCTCTATGGACGGAGAGAAATAGGAGAATTTTTTAAAACAAAACACAATACATCAGATACAATATTAAAAGGCTTATGAGGCATTATCTACTCATGTGCTGCAGTTCACAAACAGCTAAAGGATTTACCTTTCAACTCTTTTTCTATCAGGGCCATGTAAATTTTAGTTTGTCTTCATTTAATACTTATTTTAGTTTGCCTTCATTTAATACTACTACTACTATTCTCTATATTTTCCATATATTCTGATCTTTATTCTTTTTCCTCTCATAAATATGCTGATTTTCTATGTTTTCGAATGAAATTTATACTTATTTCTAGAAGATAATGGTAATTATTAGTTAAAGATTACAGCTCATTAGTATGAAACCTAGGATACAAGGTGCACTCCTGTCACCTAGCATTGCCTTAGCGCCTCCAGAACTATGCTTCTAAGAAGGACAAAAACATGTATCATATAAAAATGATGTCCCTAAATGCCAAAACCTGAATCAAGCCTCTGATAGGTTGACCACTAGTTGGAACAACGTATTGCTTATTTGCATTTACAATGTTGAAAGCTTCTGCACGTGAAATTTCATCTTGTGGGAAATGAACATTCATCTCATCACCATCAAAATCAGCATTATATGTACTGCAAATAGAAGTACATCAGTTAGTTAAAAATCCACAGCCATTCTTAAATAGGAAATATTAAAATTTAACACATTTAAAAAGCTTAAAGTTGAAAAAAATGAACCTGCAATTAGCATAGTGCATGCGTATTGTTTTCTCCCCTTTCAAAACACGAACTACATGTGCCATTATACTTGGCTTGTGGAGTGTAGGCTGCAGATGCAAAAGAATAAAATTCATTTCATGGCATTCAACAATCAAATATCCAACAAAACAATATCAAAGGATTCAGCAATCTGCTACACAATTCAGGCTAACATACATTACATGCCACAGCAATGGCAATTGCAGGTTCAAGTCAGTCAACTGGTAATATGTAAACTCAAGGATAAAAGGACAATTATTTGGATTCGAAGAACTAGAGCGACAGCATGTTTCAACTCTTTTTTATGTAAATTTTGTACTTGACACTTGAGTTTCATTTGGAGAAGAAGAAGAGAATAACAGGGAAAGGATGGGGGAAAGGAAGAAAGAAAAAAGAATAAAAGCACAATTTTGAGAAAGCTAGAAAAGTTAGGCAGTCAAAGAAGGGGTATTTATGGCCTGTAATAGTAAAATAATAAAAATGCATAAGAGAGGGGTATTTATGGCCTGTAATACCATTTCCATTGTTACATCTTTGACTTTATATTTTATAGATAATGGTATGGAGTTACAATTTGTAAGAAAAGAAAAGAAATCATATAGAAGAACCACAATATTGCGTTCCAAAATAAGAATATAAATATATATGCAAAAATACATAATTGTCCATACCAATAAAAACAGAAAACAAAATACACAAAAAGGGGACTTCCCAAAGCTTCAACGAATGATTAGATGGATGCAAGGAGCCATCCAGGTCCCATATACTAAAATACATACAACACTCTCCTTCAGAGAGGTCAATCAAAAGATGGGATTTGCTAAATTACATACAACACTCTCCTTATCAAAAGAGATGTTCATTCTATAATAGTACTACTTTTGTTTGTAGAAGACATGGTGATTATTGGGAAAGACATGTTTGAAACCTCCAGATAAAGCAATATCTAGCAAAAGAATTTGAGATCATGGATCTTCATAAGCTTAGATGTTTTTTATTCAGAATAGAACTAGCAAAGTAGAAAAAAGGATGTCACTGTTTTTCAAAGAAAGCATAACCTTAATTTTTTAAAAGAAACTAGCAAATAGGCAGTTAAACTAGAAAACACTTATATATCTCCTAATAGTAAAAATTAGGGTTAATTACTTAAAGTTCCCCTGAACTATCTCGCAATTAATTAATGCACTTTTAACTCCTAAGGTTTCAGAACATACTTACAGTACCCCTGAAGTTTCAGAAATTCGATTAAGTCTTGATATTAAATTAGACAAAAAATACTCTTTTTCCCTTGACTATTCTTCAAATTTTCAAAACATGCCCTTTCTCCTTTTCTCTTCCCTCTCCCCCTCTTATTCTTCTCTTTCCTTCTCTCTTCTCCTCTTCTTCTTTCTTCTTCTCATCCCCCCTCTTCTCTCTTCTCCTCTTCTTCTTTCGTCTTCTCATCTCCCCCTCTCTTTCTTCTATTTTTCCTCTGTCGCTGCAACTTAACCTGCATACCACTGGGGGTTGATGCAATGGTCAGCCCAACTTAGACAAGAGTACTATGCAAATGCCTGCCCCAATGTCAAAACCATTGTTAGATATGTAGTCACCAAAAAATTCCAACAGACCTTTGTCACTATCCCTGCAACTCTTCATCTCTTCTTCCATGATTTTTTAAGACCACAATCTATGTCCTGTCAATGAGATATATATACCATACTTATAAGTTATAATCTCTGATGATCTCCTAAGCTCAATTTGATATATTAATTTACAGCGCTGTGATACTTCTGTTATGATTGTGTCTCTACAAACAAACCAGGCAGAGAAAGACCACCCAGACAATCAATTGCTGGCCAGAGATGGGTTTCACACCATCATCAAGGCCAAGGCAGCTGGTGGATGCCGTCCCATGTTCCAACATTAAGGTCTCCTGTTCGGAGACCTAACTTGTCTTCAGATTTCAGCTGCTTGACAAGATAATGTGTTCCTCAAAAATTGAACTCGTTTGTTGAATTGGAAAACACAGATTTCAGCTGCTTGACAAGATAATATGTGTTCCTCAAAGATTTCAGCTGCTTGACAAGGAAGCCCTGAGGGAAATTAGTGAGCAGGAAAGAGAAGAAAGGTGGAAGCTAAAAATGGAGCTTGAAGATCTCCTGCGAAAAGAAGAAATCTCTTGGAGACAGAAATCAAGATGTAAATGGCTTGAAGAAGAGGACAGAAATAGAAGGTTTTTTTCATTCTCTAGCAGATGGAAGAAGAAAGAAGAATTTCATAATGAGTATAGAGGTGAATGGAATTGCAATCAAAAAGGAAGAGGAGATAGTAAAGGTTTTTGTGGATCATTTCAAGGAAATCTTATCCAGCTCTGTGGGGAAAAGACAAAGCCACCCCATTCTGGAGTAGGCTATGGTCAATGGTGACAGATATCCAAATCAAAACTTTGGAAAGCAATTTTAGAATCAAGGAGATTGGAGAGGTTGTGTTTTCGATGGACAGATCAAAAGCCCTAAATGCAGATGGATTTACAAGGGCCTTTTATCAAGATTGTTGGAAGACTCTAATAAAGATTTGAAAGAAGTTTTTGATGAGTTCCACCAATTCAACCTTCCTTGCCTTAGTCCCTAAGAAGAAGGAAGTGAAATCCTCGAAGAATTTTAGGCTAATCAGTTTATTGGGTAGCCTCTAAAATAATTGCTAAAGTCCTCAAGCAGACTGAAGGAAACCTTACCAACAGTAATCTCACCATTTGGAGATTTGGAAAAGAATGGGAAAGCTGCTGGAGGAATTTACTAGCAGCAATGTATGGTATCAGAGCCAAACGGAGCAAATCAGACCTGCCCAGAATTCTGTTCTCTGCACACCCAGTCTAGGGTTTTCTCTTAGTTTCTTCGCCATCTGTTGGAGATAAGGGAAAGGGCTGAAAAGGAGTGGTCACCCTCTTCCCTTGGAGGTTTCTATGCCTCCAGCTGTGCTGTTTATGGTTGGTTGCTGTGGTTTCTAAGAAGCCCTCCCCTAATCGATGAAGAGAAGAGGGCTGATTAGTGTGGTGCAGTGGATGTCTCGTGTGGTCTGATTTTCTAGTGATCAGGTAAGAGATTTCTATGCAATTTCGTGCTGTAAATCAAATCATAAGTCTACTTCAGATTGTATGGTGAGATTTCAGATTGTAGTGTACTATGGTTTATGTTTTCTTTCAGCATGATTCGAAAAGGGAGTGGTCCTCAAACAGTATGCTGAGTGTTCAGGTAGTTGTGGGGTAGGGTTTGTGGTGTAAAGAGTGCAATTTTCAGCAGTACTAAGTGCTGAAACCAGTGTGTTCGTTGTGTGGTGTGGTCTAGCGTGCAGTGTGCGGAATTCAGCTATGGGAGACAGCAGTGATGGCAAGACTAATGTGATGATCCCAACTGACTACCTGAATGTCCAAATGGTCTCCATTAAACTGAATGGAGAAAATTATGTACCCTGGGCTAAATCTGTAGAAGTTTTTCTTAAGGCAAAGAAGAAGGTGAAATACACAAGAGAAGAAAAACACTCCACAGATTCTCATGAGTATGATGACTGGGAACAAGAAGATGCATAGATTATCACATGGTTATGGAACAGTATGGAACCCAATTAGTGTAAACTTCATGTTTCTTGACACTGCTAAAGAAGTGAGGGGTCATGCTAAGAAGTTCTATTTGGGTCAAGACAATACTACCAGAGTATATCAGCTGTATCAGGAATACTTTAATCTACAACAGGATAATCAGAGTCTTGAGGAGTACTATGCCAGTATGAGAAACATCCGTAATGAGTAGAATGTTTATCACCCCCTCACTTTTGATGTCAAAATTCAGCAACAGCAGAGAGATTAACTTGAAGTAACTCGATTTTTGGTGGGGCTGAAGTCTAAGTATGAATCAGTGTGGGCCCAGATACTAGGAGGATCAGCTCTCCCTTCCTTAGAAGAAGTGTTTGCTCGACTTAGGAGGATTTACATTGGATCTACCGAGAACACTAGTGTTTCCGATAGATCAGCCTTTGCAGTTTCGAGGGCCCGCGGTGTTAGAGGTGGAGCTCAATCTGGCCGTAGTGGTAGCAGTGGACCGGTATATGGCCGGAGTGGTGGTGGTGGACCTACTTATAACCATGGTAGTGGTCGTACTAGAGGTAGAGATTCAGGGGGAGCCCGTGACCGAGGACGTAGTTCATGTCCGAGGAGGTGTACACACTATGGTATGGATGGACATACCATTAATTATTGCTATGACTTGCATGGTCTACCTTCAATTTGGACCAATCATGCCATGACTAGTGACAGTAGCTTCAGACAAGAGAGTTGTTTAGCTTATCAGATGCTTCCTACATCCACAAATGTTCCCGAGAGAGAGATGATGAGTGTTCCCCGTAATGAGTATGAGAGGTTTGTTTAGGCCACATTGCAGCAGAATACGGCCACTCTTGCACACTCAGGTATAGCTTGTCTGGCATCCACACCCAATCCCTGGATTTACTCTGGAGCCTCCAATCACATGACTGGAACTCCAAATGTGTTTTCTCCCCTTTCCCATTGCTCAACATCACAATCTGTTACCCTTGCTAATGGTTCCACATCCTCCATTTGTGGTGTTGGCAGTGTTAACATGACCCCCTTATCTTTATCCTCAGTTTTCTATGTCCCTAAGTTTCCGTTTAACCTTATGGTTGTTAGTAAGTTGACCAAGTCACTTAATTGCTCTATTACTTTTTACCGTTCTTCATGTGTTTTTCAGGATCTCAAGACGGGGATGAAGATTGGTGGTGTACTTTAGAGCAACTTTGTTTTAGGATCTCAATAGTGGTGAAACAATTTCCCACATTATTATTTCTTGTTCCTTTGTGTTGTATTTTAGAGCAGCTTTGTTTTCTTTTTGGGTGCGGATGTCTCCACCTCATGATGCGATGGGCCTTTTTGATCCTAATTTCTTGAAACAGCCAATAAAAAGAGGAAGATTACTTTCGAAAGCAATAAAAGCAGCTATAGTTTGGACTATTTGGGAAGAAAGAAATGGAACAATATTCAATGATAGAATAGGAATTAAGAAGAAATCTTTGATTTAGTTAAACTAAAAGTTGCACACTAGGTGAAAACTTTGGATGACTTACAAAGACTTTTCACTGAATGATATTTTAAGAACCTGGAAAGAGGTGGCATTATCGGCTCAAGACAAGGCAAGGATAGTTATGGAGTGAAAGCCCCAAGCCCCCAAGTTCATAAAACTCAACTTTGATGGAAGCTTTATTGGCGGAGGGGATTGGTTGGGGTAGAGGGTGTTTCATGACCAAATTGGGAGTTGTAGTTGAAGGCCCCATGAAGCTGGTTTGTGACAATCAGGGTGCTATCAACACCAATAACTTAGTCCAATATGACCGCACAAAACATATAGAACATGAATACATGATTGAGTTCTTAGTGGAGAAATTTGCCTAACCAGCTAGCTGATTTGTATGACAAAGGGAATCCTTCCACCTACAATGGAAAACAATCTAGCCAAGCTAGTTATGTAAAATAGTTATGCCTAGCTTGATGGGGAGTGTTGAGAGGTGCCAGATTAAGTGCATGTATAACCATTTTTTAATTTATATGAATTGAGAATTATATTGTAAATGTACTCAGATGATTTGAAGCAGTTTCATGCCTCAAAATTAACTTATCTAAGAGTGAATTGTTGAAGACAGAGGAAGGTCTTCCTGATCCCAGTATGGCTAGTGTCTTGAGCTGTAAATCTGGAAATCTGCCCACCACCTACCTTGGTCTTCCCTTGGGAGCGAAATGCAGTTCTAACTTCTAAGAAGATCTGGGATCCAGTTACTGACAGATTTGACAGAAAATTCGCAATGTGGAAATCTAAATATTTATCAAAGGGAGGTAAGCTCACTCTAATTACGAGTGTATTGTCTTCACTCCCAATCTTTTTTTTCTTCTTGATCGGCAACATGGAAAAAAAGGATTTAATTAATTGGAATAAAACAGGATTACCACAAGAAGTTGTGAAAAAACCAGCTTTAGAAGCTGTCCCAATTCAGTATTACATTTGGTCTTCACTCCCAATCTAATTACATATCTTTATTTTAGATTCCTGCCAGTGTTGCAAAGCTTCTAGAGAAGAAAATGAGGCACTTTTTATGGGCTGTGTCGAGGAACAGTTTCAACTTTAATTTGGTAAGGTGGAAATCTGGGTGCAAATCAAGGAGAACTGGTGGCTTAGGAATCAGAAATATTAAAGTTGTTAACAAGGCTTTTGTTGGTAAAGGGTGTTGGAGATTCTGCAAAGAGAGGAACAGCCTGTGGAGAAGAATCATTGCACATAAGTATAGGCTCACAAATCTAGAGGGACTCAGGTCCTGGCCTTCTCCCAAGGGGATGTGCCTCATGGAGCAATGTTGTCTCTATCTTCCCCGATCTCCTGAAGGGAATTAAATGCAATGTCAGTGAGGGTAATCTCCTCAAGTTGTGGCATGACAAATGGTGTAGGGACACTGCTTTCCCCTCTCTCTTTGGTATTGCACAGGATAAAGATACAGTAGTGGAAAACTGTTTTGACTTGAGGAATGGTGAAGTTATATGGAGCCCTACTTTCAGAAGAAATCTTAATGATTGGAAAATAAGTCCACTAATAGATGATGAAAGAATTTGGGCTTGGGAAGCTTCTGGCACTATCTCCTCTAAGTCTTTCTACAACAACCTTGTGGCCGATGAGGAAGGAGACTTCCCTTGGAATATAATCTGGAAGTTCTATGCTCCTTCAAGAGTAGCCTTCCTGGTTTGGACTGCAGCACTTGATAAGTGCCTAACTGCAGATCGGCTGCTCAGAAGGGGAACGCAGCTTCCTACTTTCTGCCATCCTTTCTGCAATGAAGCTCTGGAATCTTCCAATCACATTTTTATTCACTGTAACTTCTCTCAGCAGCTTTGGGAAATGGCTCTATCCAGTTCTGGTGTCTCTTCTTGCCCACCTGCTTAAGTCCTTCAGCTGCTTCAGGGGTGGACCCTTGAGGATCTGAATGTAAGAGGCAAGCTGCTTTGGAAGATTTTTCCAACTGCTATCCTTTTGGACCCTTTGGAAGAAAAGGAACAGCCAGATTTTTAAGAATCTTTCCAATGACATAGTTTCAGTCAAGAACAAAGTTATAGTTTTCCATGTTCCTAGTTAGGTGTACAAAGAGCTTTCACTAGAGTTCAGCTTTAGCCATTCACTGAACCTTTCTTCATTAATCAAAAAAAAAGAACTGGACCTTTCTTTATCTGATTTTTCAGATCTGTTGTAAATTCCCAATGTACAGGTCCTCATTGTAATGGGCTGATGTTTGTTATTTCCTTTTGCAATACAATACATTACCTTCTTCAAAAAAAAATTAGTATAAATACTAATGGAAAGGATGCAGCCAACATTTTTTTTCCTCTACCCAAAACCCATTGTTCTTCAACCTAAAGATCACAAGCAAGGGCATGCTCTCTAACACCCTCAGAAAACATCTCAAAGAAGGCCGTCTGAAATGACCCCTCCTTCATCCGCTCTCACTACCTCAAGAAAATCCTTTATATCAGTTACAATGTTAGATAATAATAGCTCCAGTTATACCTCTACAAATATAAACACTCCAAAAATAAATACTGTAAATTTGAACCATGATTGCAACTGATTTTACCAGTTCTCCCCACAAAGCATCTAAATTCAGTTGTCCTCTCATTTAAGAAAAAACAGAAACTACCTGAATCAGTTGATTAGAGTGCCGATAAATGATGAGGCAAGCCCTAGAATAAACATCTATGACATGCTATGGCAATCTAAAAGGAAACATAAAAGAATGCAAAAGCACATATGCAACAACCAGAATCATGATGTCATACCTGTCGATTGACAAGCACAATATCACCATCTTGCAAATGGCGATAGACAACCTTGCCTTCAAATTCGTACTCTAAATTTTTCCCAGGCTGTGTAACAGCTCCCCTCGAGGAAGGAAGCTTTCTTGAAATAGACATACGCATTTTTCGGCTTGGTGGAAGCTTAACAGTTGCCAATTTATCTACATAGTGAGTAGCTCCAGGATGATGCTCAGCACCATTAATAATAGCATCCCTCAGTTTGTTAACATTCCAAGGAGTTACCCTCTGCAGGACATCAAAACTTAATCACAATTCTTGAAAAACAGAAATTGCAGAATAACCAACCAAACTCTATGATTAACATCTATAGTCAAATTCCCTGATAGAATGCCACAACTGACAAACTCACATGCAGCTATGCAATGCAGTTAGTAGTTTATGAAAAAAAATGCATGTATTATAAACAAGTCTATGAAATGATTTAAGAAGCAAATACTTGCACTTGTGGAAATACCAGCAAATAATCACATGAAAATTGGGTGCATGCAAGCAATGCATTCAAGAATATATTTCAGTGTCCATGCATGCAAGCATACATATGCATATTCACATGCACATGGTAAGTTATGCAAATCAAGGACAAATAGAAATGCATATTATGTTTCAGCATAAGTGATAATAAACCCTCCCTTACCTCTGGATAGGTTAACCTTAATGCAAAATAGGGAGGAATCCCTATTTCATTTACTGCTAAATAAGGATCAGGAGATATAACGGACCGACATGCATAATTAACCCTCTTTCCCATCATTTTCTGGCGAAAGATTCCCTCCTTCTTTTCCAGCAGCTGACATATTCCAGTAGCTGTATTGTCTCTTTGACCTGCCATAAAGTGCAAAACCCACCAGTCAACCACTGGAGCTGATGAATTGCTAGAGGAATATATAGATACTTTCAGTTGATAGTCAGAGACCTGGACAGTGGGGAAAATAGTATTAGAAGACCAGGAGAAAGAAAAAGCAGTGTATTCAACAAAGTATAGGGAAAAGTGAGATAACGGTTTGTTCTTCCATCATGAAGAGGAATATATTGTATAAGATAACACAATTTTTTTTATGATTTCTCTTACAATATGTGGATTTTTTTAAATACATATTATCATTCATTCATTCTTTTCTTTTATCAGCTATCATTCATTCATTCTTTGATCCACATCAAAGATGAAGGAAGGTAGAAAGGGGACATATAAATTTTAATAACTCTTTCAAATATCGGTTGCTAATATGCATATAATAGCATACTTCTTTCTTTCATTACACAAAAAACAGTTGATGTATCTGCTTATCGCAAAACAATACTTGATATTCAGCACCTCAGTACCTGACACTAATAACAACAGGGACATAAATTTGCTTGTTTCTTAGTTTTTGATAACAGCTGAACCGGTATTGGGGAAGAGTAGTCACCTTAGCAACTGTAACATTTTCAGAACTCAGGACTCAACAATAATGGCCATGTTACCGAAGAAGAATGTGTCTGAGCCTCAATCAATACCAACTTCCAAATATTTCCTCTTCCTTCATGCCAAAGCCCTCAAGGACCTAAATAGCCACAGCCCTGAACCTAATGCCTAAACAGCAATGCACTTTCTACTTCAATTGCACAACATGTTTTTCTTTTTTTGATAAAAAATTAATGAAATTGTTATTAATAGAGAAACAGTGAGCATACAAACAGCCTAAGATGAGGCACGAGATGCAACCTCCTCTTTAAGGATGAAAGAACAAAACTCCCATTAACAGAAATCAGTTTATAAAGTAACCTGGTACAAAGAAACCCTTGACACCCTTTGTGAACTACCATCATTTACTCTTTGAGGTTAAGTGATTAAACATGACCCTTTGAGAAAAGCATTTATGGCATACACTGACAGAGTAAGAGATAGTGTCAACATCATAAAAGGAAGATTCAAAATAGCATCCCCCCCAAAAAAAAAGAAATGAACTCTTCTACCTCCCACTTAAACACTGTAGCATCTCTAGCCTACACAATTCTGCCTCCACTTACATAAAAGTTTCCAACCACTCCATTGTTAATCCACCACCAAAGGTACTTTTAACCTGAAAACAGCCAAGACTCAGTGACTTCTCTGTCTTGAAATGCCACCTAAAATTATCTATACAAAATAGCCAAACCACAAATTATGCAAGTTGACCTGCATTCAACCCAGACTGCAGAATATTGAAGTCTCCCCCATACCATTCTAAACAGGACGATCCTTCCTTACAACTGGCATTGTAGGTCAAACATCCATTAGAAATTCTTATAGGCCCATGACTAAACCCAAGACCCAAATGGGCTCAGAACCATCAACTTCTCACCAATAATCTGATATCTGAGCCTCCAACAATAAACCATCTACCCTAACATTGATTTTGTTCTAGAGCCTACCTTGACACTGCACATCTCTACAAAGTCCATATTGAAGCCCCTAATCCTAACTTCCAAACAGAAAGGAAACCCAAAATGCACTAGCCATGGCATCTCCCCAAAAGACATCACACAAGATCCACTGTTGACTAATAATCACACACCTAAAAACATAAAACCATAACACTGCCAAAGAAAAAGAAAAAAAAAAAAAAACAGCTGCCACTAACTTCAGAATGCTCCACCCTGTCCTTCAAATTAACACTCTCCCTGTACTAGTCATACTGTTTCTTCCAGCTATACCTCGGGTCATGAGCCTCCTCCTTCCCAAGTTCCCATGTCACATATCTGTCCTCCACCCTAAAATAGAACCTAAAAAAATCAAGCAAAAAAGACAACCGAAAAACAATCAACAATAAAATTTAACGCACTCATTGGCTCTTAGGCGTTGATCTTCAAATGGAAACTGACAGAATTATTAAGAACATGAAGTAGATGCAGTAGTAAGTTGAATCTAGTTGGAAGAAAGAGTTGAAACTTGAAAGATAAAGTAGCTCAACAGGTATTAGCCTTGCCATGATTGTAAAGCATTTAGGTGGAACTAGGAGAAAGTTGGGCACCTAGTTGCCTAGGCATTTGAATTTTACGAAGTAAAAAAATAAATAAAACAAAATTCAAGGTAAATTCCCTGATTGTAAGAAACAACCAACATTCATATATTGAAACTATAGCAATACCCTTTATAATAACAATAATGACCATTCTAAATAATACAAATCTTTATACCTAAATGGCAATAACATTTAAATCAATTAATCTCAACATTTGAAAAACAATAAAATAAAAAGTATTTAATAGAGCAAATTGCATGTCAAAAAATATCAGCAACTAAAGAAGGCTATAAATTTACTAATAAAAAGGCAAGGAAGAGTAATGAAAGGGGGAAAACAACAAGGAAAAGCCTTTTTTCTATTTGTAGTGTCTCACTACTTTACTGATGTGTATAGTTTGAAATTTGAAATATTTTGTTATTGAATCTGCATAGACTACTTAAGACTTTAGAATTAAAGTTTGTAAATGAATCATGGTATCTCAGTTCATATCTTGGAATTTAATTTCTTTAATTGGAGATAATGTTTATTTGTAGCTTCACACTATTGGATTGATATTGTAGTTTAAATTTTCAATTATTTTGTTCTTGAATCTGTGTAGAGTCAATGCAACCTAGCAGTCTCTTATTTTAGTATATTTCAAGATGCATATTTGATTTTAACAATTGAAACAATAGAGACTAGAGAACATTAAGGTCCTCTTTTCTCTAAAAAACTTGTACACGGATAACTAAAGGAAATTTGTCCTTAAACATATCATGGCATCTATTGAATTATGAATATCGATAATGCAATGAATGTAGAGTAATTATCACTACAACTATTTACTTATGTGATGTCCATAGATTGGAAGTTAGTGCAAAGTCATTTTTTCTATTTTTTTAGAAGTTTATCTAATTTTATGGTTTTTGACAACTTTTAGAAAATTCAGAAAAAAAAAAAAACTTTACAATTTATGATATGATTCACAAATACAAATCAATTTAAACCCCTAATGTTTAGCAATACAATTACGACTTTCAAAACATTAATTCCGTTTCAATATGCAAGATAAAAATCCTTCATATCAGAAACAAAAGTATTTTGAAGAAATAACTAGAAACAAATATGAACATCAGATATAGTTTCAATATACTGAAACAAATATTTTTGAAGAGCATTTAGCCTACCTTAGGCATATGAACTTAAATAAAGTACAACAATAAATACACATACATACATACATACAAATATTGATAAATACATGCTAGGAGACAAATATGTACCCGAAGTCTTGCTATCATATAATATGTTCACAGTTTGTTGAAGATCCATCCACCTAGGAATAATCTTTGAGCGGTCTGAGCTATTGGCATGTGCATTGCCTAAAGCAATATTGGATTGTAATACCTTCCCTAATAAAACAGTTTGGGGGTGTTCCATCACCTAAGGGTAACATCATCAACAAAGTTAAACAGTTCACCACAGCATTTATAATAGTTGAACCATGAAAGAATCTAGCATACAATTAATAGCAGAAGACAAGCAAAAATAGAAGACAACTGCATCATAAAAACTATGTGAACAAACATCATAAGTATAAAAGCTTTAAGTAAAACAGGGTACAGAACAAAATACCACTGGCTTAGACCAGCAACTGCCATGGTGAATGAGAGTGTTCTGAAAAACATTCATTTGAGGAGTTTGGCTTTTTCAGCCATCAGGGTTCAGAGATGTGATTAGCTCATAAATGCCTACTGACCTTCAACTTTTCTATTAAATCACCTATTCTTTTTTATAAGATGAAATCACCTAATCATTTAACAAGGAGGCATTAAGAAAATTCCAAGGATCTTCCACCAACAACTGCCTTGAACCACCAAGACCCATCCACCAAAGGTTGTAAAGTTGTTTCAAGATGGAAGCAAAGAATATGTGCGACAGTCATGGAACAGAGAGCAATTTTGGTCCACCTAATTTTAGTGAGCCCAAGCCCAGCATGGAAAAGTTTAGGGCCTACCTTGGGCCCAGATACATGTATACATGCTAAGCCTACAAAAAAGTTTTTTTAGGTAAGGTAAGGAAGGATATCTATTAAATATGTATCTATTAAGCCTATATATAAGATTATTAAGCAGAATATCTATTAAATGAGAGGAAAACGACAACAAAACTTTCTATATATAGAAAACAACAGAGCTTCAACAATAGATTGCAATGAGGTCATCCATGAAGACAACAGAACCCCAAAACAAGTCATTGCAACTTTGGCTTTGGAGGAACAAGAAACTCGGTAGGTATGAGTCCCCCTGAAATGAGGAGGTCCTCCCAGGTTTGCTTCTTCCATTACCCCTTTTAATCGTATTATCCCCTTGGACTGCACTTCACATCTGTTCTCACCTGCTCTTGTTCTTGATCTTCTAGACTTCCCAGCAGAACTAATCCACTCATGATACATCCTTCGCATGCATATCAATTACATTTCATTTTATTAATAACCTTAGATTGAGGAATGAGATGGAAACAACTCCCCAACCAACAAAGAAATGACAGACAAAATCATATGCCTTGATCTGTATTTTTCTTAGAAGACAGATGTTTTCTTTATAGTAACAATCAAAGCCTCTTATTAATTTGTTGAAAAGAAAAGAACTCTATTGTTAGCTAGCATTCACTACTTACCTGGTTACCCCAAAAATGTCTTTTACATCAGGTCCCCCGTAGAATCAACCCAAAATCAGGTGTGCTCTATTCACTCCTTGTCTGGACTCTCTAAGGCATCAAACGTGCTGTTATACATCTTGGAGTCCATTTTAGATTTGCTGCCAGCAATCTGAATTCCCTTGACAGATATTTATATGTCCATGTTCCAGTAGCTTGTTTCTAAATAAGCTCACAACTAACATGGAGCCCCCCTCCACCATTATGTTCCTCAAGTTAAGATCCTTGCCTAGATTTAATCCTTTTTACTGAAGAGTTTGCCCAGCTTTAATCCATGTAGAACAAAGTTCAACCTTATTCAATGGGTCCTGAAAAGGATGCATAACAGTTCCAGCACGCCTTCTGAATGCTCCTTCGGCCCCTAAGTTATTGAGATTCCCAAACCTACACCCATCAAATGATATTGGGTCAAGTAGGAGACAACAAATTAGACAATTACTCTTGTCCTAGAAGTGGAGGTAGCAATGACTTGAGAATTGTCAATGATATCATCAGTGGACAAGGATGTCAAGCTGGGCAAAGTCTTTACCAAATTCACTATCCTTACCATGATAGTTTCCATCAATGCTTCTGTAGATTGGCATTTATCTTTAAATACTCTCTAATACGTTCCTGCAATACTGTCCATAATTGCATCCTTTGTGCATCTCCATAATATTGTACCCCTTTCTAGGTGGAGGAAGCCATGAACAAGAAGAATGTCAACTAACTTCTTAAAATAATCTCATCTTTTCTTTGATAAATTAAAACAATTTTACCTGTTTTGTATATTTAAGACCATTCCCATTCAAAAGAAAATGATATCTCCACCCTCCTTACTTCAATTTAGTAATTCTCAACTTATATTTCCACCCTCCGAATACTTCTTATGTCCCCATATCCATGATTCCTTTAGCTTCCTCATCATCCTCATCTCCTCAACTTCCCTACTTTCTAGAACTCTGCCTCCTCCATCAGGTACCATCAACCCATAATGAAAACCACCAAAGGACAACATTCTCCTTTCATTATGGCAGTATCAGCAAAATTCAAGCTAAAGAGAAACCAAGTTTCAAAACTTATAAGGAGAGCAAGAAGTTAAGTCACAAGGAAATTTCTTCCATCAGCAAGCCTGAAAAGATTAGTACTTAACCTGCAAAGTATAATGAATAACATTCACTCAAAGGGGCTTGCCCACAAAATACAAGGATATAGATAAAGAAGGATCACTCCCAAACAATACAGAAAAAGGGCATCCGCCATCAACCCAATATATTCTGTGCTTCAATTTTTTGTCATTTTTGCACAAAGTGGCCACTCTAAAACTTGAACCTGCACTTTAATGTTCAGCAGCCCAAAACTTCACCATTGCACCAAACTTACCTATCTCCTAACATGATGTTTAATGATCACTAAAATGGTGTTTAAAAAATCTATGGAGTGAAATTGGTGCTTAAAAATTGAGTTATTATCAATAAAAATAAAAATAAATTGTGCTTAAATGATTTAAATAGGTAAAACAAATTTAAATACTGTGGATTGTGTATAGCGAATCATTTCCTACAAATGCACTCAATTAATAATATCGTCTATTATAAATTGAAAAAGGAAAACTTGGTCAAGAAATCCAGAGAATCAGAAGGCAGGTTGCATGACATATAAAAAAGATAAATACATGAAAACTTACAGAATCACCACTCTTGGCTGGGGGGCGAAACTTGATAGGAGGAACGAGAAGAGCCTCAGTGAAGAACATCGAATGCCTTGCATTCATCCCAGACACATGTAATCTCTCATGCTGAATGTCACAAATAAGAGAGCATAGCCGAGCCTCATTTTTCCACAAAAGCCTCATAGTCTCCTTTACCTGTGGGCCATGGAAACATTAAGAGTTATATGGGCATACATTACTGTTTAGATGTTGGTTCCTGTCGATTATAGGCTGTTTTTGATTTTCGATATTGGTTCCTGTTTAGATGTTTAGTTTCTTATAGCTGCTGTTAGGGTCGATGTTATGCTTTACTTTTTAAATTCTCAGCAGGAGTAATATGGTCACTCTACAGCTTTATTTTTAACATAAATAAATGGATAGGGGCAAGGATTAAAATATTGACATGATACGGCCAATACAAGGCATATTGCAGTGGTATTAAGAAGGGGGATATGTGGCACGCTACAACTCGACATGTATACCGTCAGTCATGTGTATCGATAAAATACACCCTTGTATCGGCCCATATTGCAGTGTATCAACCAATAGACATAGATAAGGACCCATACATAGGGATACGCAGGCCAGTTTCATAAGTTGTCAGCATTCTTAGTCAGTATATGCATGCTTCAAGAAGTACACATCTTGCAACTGTTGACAATACTTGCTTATTTGAAGAGAAAGCCTGGCATAGGGATATTTTATAGTGGTCATGGTAATATGAACAAAGAAGTTTACATAGATCCAAACTGGGCTGGGTGTATTGATGACAGAAGATCAACTTCAGGATGAGGTAAGAGGGTTCACCTCCCCCCACCTTTATATTAAACCTTTTATATTAATTAATGAAAGATTTCTGTTACTGATCAAAAAGAAAGAGCACTTCACAATAACTATGCATTCATTGGTAGGAATCCTGTTTCTTGGAAGAGCAAACAACAAAATGTCATTGCTCATTCCAATGCTGTGGTAGAGTACAGATCTATGGCTCATGCTGTCTCTATGTATGGTCGAGGTCTCTTCTTGAAGAGCTGGGTGTTTATTGTGAGAAGCCATTAATACTATATTATGATAACCAAGCAATTACCAATATTGAACATAATCAAATACAACATAACCAAACTAAACAAATTGAAGTTGACCAACGTTTCACTAAAGAAAGAATTGCAACTAAAGAGGTCTGCTTGTCATATGTTGCTTCTGATATGCAGTTAGCCGATATCTTCACCAGGGGGGTTATCAAGTCCAAGCTGGAGACAGACTTACACAAGTTACTGTTAGGTTTTATTCTTTATATTAACAGCAGGGGTAGTATGGCCATTGCACAGTATTAATTCTGTACCATTTATAAAAACGAGGATGGTGACAATTTTTAGTCAAAAACCCTGATTTTACTTTCCCTTTTGACCTTTTATGATTTAAGTTTTTCCAGTAATTTATTTAACTATCATGATTCCTGAGGCCATATGCTAAGTTTTAGTCAAAAAGCCTGATTTTACTTTCCCTTTTTACCCTCTATAATTCTTGCTTTTCCAGTAACATATTTAATTAACTATCAAGATTCATGAGGCCATACGCTGTCCATCAAACTCTTTCCAACGATAAAAAATGAGAATGCAAACTGTTAACATGGTTCTATCTTGATTTTACTTTCCATCTTTACCCTCAACAATTTTTGTTTTCTAATGTTCTTTTTTGATCATTCAAGTATTTGATCTATCATAAATGGCCACATACACTCTCTGGTGCTGACCTTGTTGCTACCTACCATTTTCATTTAACTCACTGCAACCGTCCATAAATTCTCATCAATTACACACATGAAACATAAGAACTGCTAAATGGTGATTGGAGATCCCATAACCAATAATTTATCATTATTTATGTTTTTGTTGAAATCATATATCGATCAATTATTCTGTAAATTCACCCTGATATTTAGAATAAAAATTAAAAATTCATGAACCTCACTTAGGATTAACATAGTGCACGTGAAATCATCTAAACACCAAAACTTGAAAAGAATACAAAAGACACCTCTTATTGAATTAATATTAATTTTAGTTAGAAAATAAGAAACTATTATGGGCTTAATATTAATTTAGTATTAAAAAAAATGAGAATGTTGCAATTGGTTTGGTTAAGAGTGGCATCTCCAATTTGAGGGAGTAGAAAATCTGAGGTTGGTTGGTTGTGAAACTCTTCGAGAGGATGTATAATTTGAGGATTAATTGGTCAAAGAGTTTATTGGTTGGAATCAATATCGAAGAGGATGAAGTGAGAGTTCTGGCAAATTCCCTAGGCTGCGAGAAAGGTGAGTGGCCAATGAAATATTTGGGTTTACCCCTTGGAGATAACCCTAGATCCGCTAGCTTTTGGTCTCTGGTAGTGGAAAGGAATGAGAAACATTTGGCGGCATGGAAAAGGAACTATATCTCATTGGGAGAGAATAACCCTAACTAAATCCACTTTGGCAAATCTCCCAGTATACTACATGTCAATGTTTAGAACGCCACAAGGGATAGTGAGGAAAATTGAAAAAATCATGAGGATTTTTCTCTGGGAGCCTGGGAAAAAAAAAAGAAGGATAATTTGGTTAGATGGGAAAAGGTGAGGAAATTGAAAGAGGAAGGGGGCCTGGGAATAGGGAATGTTCAACTCAAGAATCAATCTTTGCTTAGCAAATGGCTTTGGAGGTTTCCAAATGAAAATGAGAAATTATGGCACAGAGTGATTGCAAGTATTCATGGCATGTCGAGCAACGGATGGGATGCTAGATGTCTCTGTAGGGCTAACTTGGCTGCTACCTGGAAGGCCATCCATGATGTTCTCCCTACTTTCCTAAATTTTATCAAGTATGACTTGTCTTCTGGTAGTAAAATCAGATTTTGGGAGGATGTGTGGATCCAGGAAATTCCTTTGGGTGAGAAGTATCCTTCTCTTTATGACCTGTCCAGGTTCAAGGGTAAGCCTATTTCAAAGTACCTAAGTCAACCATCTCACCTTCCAAGGTTGAATTGGAACTTTGGATTTAGCAGGAACCTTAGAGAGTCTGAACTTCTTGTAGTGTTTGAGCTGTTAGGATTGTTGAGTTCAGTTTTTTTGGGGGAAGGTGGGTCAAATTCTAGAATTTGGGGTCCTAATGCCCAATGGTCCTTTTCTTGTAAATATTTTCTATATTCGATGGTTGCCACACAATCTTCTATTCAATTTCCAGTCAAAGAAATTTGGTGCCCTCCTATCCCCCCTAAAATCAATGCTTTCTGTTGGGAAGTTTCTTATGGTTATATTAACACCTTTGATGTACTTCAAAGGAAAAGACCAAATTGGTGCTTGTCCCCTAACTAGTGTGTCCTGTATAAATTGAATGGTGAGACGGTTTTCCACCTTCTTATATCTTGCCCTTTTGTCAGACTTATATGAAATTGGTTTACTTCCTTTTTGGGTGCAAGTGGTCCTCTCCTGACAGGGTGGAAGGCTTATTCAAGGAGGGGAAGGATTCTTTGGAGATGTACTAGAGCAGCAATACTTTGGACATCTGAGAGGAAAGAAACGATAGGATATTTAAAAGTAAAGAAAAATGCATAGAAGCCTTAGTTGAAACAATAACATTGAGGGTGGCTCATTAGGTAAAAAGTTTGAAGCTGTTTTCAACCTTTAAGGTCGAAGAATTCTTCGGGGTTTGGGGACTTATTGCTGCTTCATCATCTATAAGATGATAGTTTGTTGAGACTTGGTCCCCTCCAACAGATAGTTGGAAGAAGCTAAACTTTGATGGGAGTTGCGTGGGTAACCCAGGCCCTTCATGTATTGGGGGGCCATTAGAGACGAAAATGGTTCCATCATTGCCATGTACTCGGTCCTGTGGAGGTAGGTGATGTGACAAGGGCAGAGTTTCTAGCTGCAGAATATGGGATTGAGAAGGCTAAAGAGTTGGGGATCAATAGACTGATCATCGAGGGATATTCAAAAACTGTGATAAAATGGTTGCAGAAAGGAGAAGGGGTGACATGGTAGTTGAAGAATGATTTAAGAAGATTTAAATGGATGTCAAGGAACATGTCAATTCAGGTGGGATGGGTAAGGAGATCTACCAACAGTTTGGCAGATAGCTTAGCAAAGCAAGGGGTTCAAAGAACATATATGTTTTGGGCACATTTGTAATTCTGCACTAGGTGTCTGGGTCAGCTTACTATGCTGATTTCTTTTGTAACTTACTGTTGTATCTTAACGTATTTTAATCAATAAAAGTTTCAAAGTTATTGATCAAAAAAAAAGAGTGGCATCTCCAATTCTCCATAAATTTTGTGTTTCATTGGGATGAACTGTATCTATATATAATGTTGTTGAATGTAACTTTATAATTGAATTGGTGCGTTAATGTTTCAATCTGATGCATTTACAACCAACATTTTATAATTATAAAATTCAGATCTTGGCATTTTGTGAGGATAGTCTTTTTTTATGTATTATATAATTGTCTTAGGACATGAACGGTATGTGAACTTTCATCTATGCCCGAGATGTAAAAGCATTGTCAAACAGCACTATCAATATCAAATACCCCGTGCATCACATGGACCATTCCACTAGTTTTAATATAAATGCATGGATAGAAGGCAGTAGAACAACTTTTTGCTCCCCTCTCAATCTTTCTTCTCTTCTCTTCATCAATCTGCTCTTCTACTGCTATTTTCTTATGTTATAAATACAGAAATAGTTTTTTTTCATTTATTTGTTTTACCTGACAAATTTTACTAAGACAAAATTACACACAAAAAAAAAAAACAAGAAATTTTTTTACTACAGAGACTAGAATTTGTAACTCATAGACCAGTTCAAATAATGTTAAATTTAGGAAACTTCTGTTTAGTAAGCAGATATGACCATATTAGCAGTTTTACCTCTGGTGGCAAGAGAGGTCCTGATAAGAACTTCCTCTGACTAAAGAAATCAGGAGGAATATGCTCTCCTATTTTCTTGTCTGTTTCTGTCACAAATTCCAGTGTTCCATCAGAGACAGCTCCAGAAGATTCTAAAATATCAGCATCATCTCCCCTTGCTAATACATCATCAACATTTTCAGCTTCAGCAGTGTGAGACCTTTGTGCAGCTCCATGAACAAATGTATCACTCAGCTTGCACCCTCTTAAAACGTTTGCTCTAATATCAGCATTTGACATGTTCTACAAGCATTGTAGACCACCAGGATATTATTGAAGATCAATAAACATTTGATAGTTAAATAACTAAAGAAATTGTATTCACTGTGGATCAGGACAAAGGTACAGAGAAAAACTAAAGCATCATGTATGATACATGGAATGCGATTAAATAACCCCACAAATACCTTGATATAGTCTTTGATCATGCAATAGACAAAGCAAAATAGCCAGACTTTAGTGACAAGACTGCATAACAGTGCCCCCAAGTAAATTTGTGTTGCATTAATAAGTAGACTAAGGGCAGGCAAGTTGCAACAGAAGTACCTTAAAACCTACTGCTTTTACATATTCTGTCCAAGAATTTATATTTTCCTTAATTTCCATTATTTAAAAAGCTTTTCCCAGGAAAATGTAAACCCCTCAATATTTTTCCACAACCATGTTTTAATTTATATTAACAGTCAACCTTTTTACATCGGCCAGAAACTTTCAACCATCTTTTAAGTACACGAAGGAAGGTATTGGCTTCATAAGTAAAAGAGATGTGCAATATGAATAAACCAATACGCTGATAATCAACATGATGAGATAATGCTCCACTATCCACAGATATGCAAAGCTTTATAAATAACATATTAGGTTGATCATCAACAGATCAGGTGAACTGAAATGGTTAGAATATATTGGTATGGCACAGAATAGGAACTCAACAAGATGGACATTATCATAGCCTGAGATATTAACAGAAATTTAATTAACCAAGGAAGAAGCTGTCCTTGGAATTAATATGCAATAGATTTAGGTATCTTTTAATTAGTGTTAGTGTCAAAATCAATATTAGCACACAAAAGAAAGCGAGATAAGTAATAAGATGACCTTAGAGACAAGTAGCATATAGGTGCTGATGATTTTTATTTTCTAATAATTTCAAGGTTATTTTGGTTTTGCAGACCCTTATTATTGCAATATATCAGACTTTTGCACAAAAAAGGATTTGCCTTACCAAAAATTGGTTATCCATAGATGATAAAACATCAGACATATAATTCCAAGTAATAAAGTACTATACAATTAATATATAGAACTCGAAATAAATATTAACAAACTTATAAAGAGAAATAGACAACCAAGGAAACAGTTATCTATGTATAATGCACAATCTTTGATGAATCAAAAGGAAAAAGAAAATTAAAACAAATTTTAAAAAAAAAAAAAAGTCTGTCAACACTCACAAGAAAACCATAGAGAGAGAATGCAGCATATTATTTTGAAACCAGATAGACATGCATGTATGAATGTGTGTATATATGTATGCATGAATAGGCATGCTGCTAGCAAATAACCATGCAGGAAAGAGATAAAATTATATTATTGTATCCAAATTTATGCATGAAAAAGATAATAGTATATTCAAATATCACTTTTTCAAGTTTAAGGAATGGATTTTAGAACCACTTTTCAAGTCATGGGAATGCTACTGAGATATACCATGTGAAACCAACCAAAAGTAGGACAGGTTATACTAGGACTTTTGGCACCACAGTTTTGACACCTGCTATGCTTGTCCTTCATAAAGTCACCCAACACGGACATTGCCTCCTTGTATTGAAGTGAAGTCCAATGGTGCTCTTGCAAATGCATGGGGTTGCAGTTCTGATCAACAGAATGAATGGCAGTATCTGTCTTGTGAGTCAAGTCATTTTCCTCCAAAGATGAGGATTCACTTGTCTTGTGAGTCAATTCATGTTTGTCTGGGAATGAGGATTCACTAGCCAACACTGACTCTAAATTTTTAGCCCCAGCAACATCTCCTTTTATTATGAGCTCCAGTTGAGAAGCATATTTCTGAACCTAAAACCCAGTAAACAGAAATGTAAATATGACCTCAAAGATAAGCATAAAAGAAGACAGCAAATGTTTACTTGAAGGAAAATGAGGGGAAAAAAATATGAAATCAACATAAAAGCTACTACAAATAACCCTGAAAATCGCATTAAAGGGAAAACTACCTGTTCCTCTTTAGCCTTAAATTTGTGGCAAAAGAAACAAACTCTTTGTAGAAGAGCAAAAAGAATTTTGAATAGTAGTGGGTTGTAGACTGGTAATACAAGATCAATATGGCCACAATGACCTGGACAGTGGAATGAACGCTGACCACATGATTGACAACTGCACAGATACCAGACAATTACTGCATCAGGTGTTGATTAGACTATAAGCAAAAAACCATAAAATCATCATGTCATCAAAGGGAATGGCATGAATTTAGTGCAGTAACAAGATTCATTTGAATTCCTAGCACTGAGTATATTTAAATCAATCTGGATACATGGATAATGGTCCAATACTTAGTTCAAATATGAACAGAGCCATAAAAGATGACATCATTCAAAAATCAAATGGCACGCATCTTATGATTGCTAGTTATTTTGCAGATTACATCAGAAGAAGAAATAACACTATCCACTTATCCCCCCCAAGGTCCCAAAACTAAATATGATTATCCCTAATTATTAGAATTTTTTTGGCCATTAAATAAGAGCATTAGGCAAAAGAATATAGTGTGTCAGTGTACCCATTGTGTTGTGGATGTGAAAGTCACACTATGGAGAGAGATCGATCGTTACAGAGATGGAGTCAAGCTTGCCGTGAGATGGAGGAAAGGGATGGAGTGCGAAGCAAAGAGGTCCGTGTTCGAAGACTGTAGGAAAAGAGCACTTCTTTGAATTAGCATATAGCTACTCCTTTCTACATGTATCAAAGATGGTTATGAGATGTTGCTCTTGGACAAACATGCCATGAAAATAACCCACAACAACGAACAAACTACATTCACAAAAAAAAAGAACAAACTACCCAATATATGAACATAGCACCTAATTCATAACTCACATGAATGTCCTTGGTGCATTAGAGAGTCCTTCATGAGTTTTGAAAGGTGTTTTCCATTCATCACCAATCTGATTTGAATCTCATGATAACCACTTCAAACATCAATCTTTGAAAATATTTCATCCCTAGCCACCATGTGAAACATCACCCAAACAAGGGATAGAGAAACAATACTTGATAGTAATTTTGTTTATAGTGTTTCCATCAAAACACATACGCCATAGTCTTTCTTTGGAGCCAATAGAGATGGAACTGCACAAGGGCTCATTCTCTCCCTAATGTACCCCTTTTTCAATAGCTCATTCACCTTCTGTTGTAGCTGCTCGTGTTCATTAGGGCTCATATGCAGCCTTGTTTGAGAGGCCAGAACTTGGCACCAAATCCATATGGTGCTGCACATTCCTCAAAGAAGGTAGTCCTGCTGTTCTGATATATAAAAGTTTATATGTGGGATTATTTGACCTTGAGCTTTATTTATTTGCCATTGCAAAGCTTAACCGAATTGGAGATTGTTTGCACTTGAACTTAAATGGGAAGCCTTCATCTTTAAATGGTAAGAGTGGCATGTGGGGACAAAGAACTTGCTTTTCTAACATGCTGTCCTACAATTTGTGTATGTATGACATTGTTTTGAAAGCCCTTGCAAATGGTAAGGTCTCCCACTGGCTGTAACAGAGACTTGGGATCGAATCCCACTTGCACCTGGGATGGGGGTTTATAGGTTTGGGGGGATGGGCTACCCCCCATTGTGTAGCCCCCTGGAGAAAAAAAAAAAAAAGAAAAACATAAAAAGAAGAAAGAAAGCCCTTACGAACCATTCATTAAGAAACAACTCCCTATATTCCTCTAGTAAGTGTTTTAAAGGGCTAAATAGTAAAAATATGGCCTGGTCCTCCTTTTCAAGCAATAAGAAAAAGATGTCATCTTCTCTACTGTGTTATATTTACTGTCCTAGAAGGTTTAGCAGGAGACCATTCCTCCACAGCCTCATAGGCCTTAAGGCAACAAGATGGTTATCTTTGAAAGTAAAAGTGTGTGTTTTGATAACCACCACAAAGGGCCTTGCAATAAAACTGCCATGGTTGTCAGCCTAATAAAAAGCGGCAAGCATCCATGCCATGAACCACACCACACCATACATTGTTTTTGTAATTGTTGTCCACAGAAAATGAAACAAGGCGTTTAGAGAAAATAGTCACCTTTGTCTTTAGTTGAACAAAGATAGCTCATAAGGATGAGGATGATTCTCTGTCTTTAGTTGAAGGTTGTCTACGACCTCCTTTGACATTACTCTCACAGCTGCCACCATAAAGTAACTTGGCCTTTGGCCTTTTATTTTTATAAACGCAGGGGCTTATGGGTGAAGTTTTTAAGCAATTTGAAGAAGGGTGAGGCTCAAGGTAAAATTAGAGTTAAGATTGGATTTTGAGGTAGAAGAGAATAGGGTAGGTGATGGGCAGCTTCAAAGATCGGTGAGTTCTTCTAAGGGACAGGGAAGAGCAAATGCTGGTTTGTTGGAGGATGCAGCTAGTAGTGTGTCTACAGGTGTAAACAGCACTGTAATCATGAGGCCTTACCGAGGTGGAGAGCTACGAGCAAATGCTGGTTTGTTGAGTTCAAGTCTTCTGACTCCGTCAATGGAGAGCTAGGTACGAGTTCTTTTGCTCCTCCCACATTAGACCAGGAGAATAGAGTCTTAGGTGCAGTTTCGAATGGGGGGTTTACAGTGGATTTGGAGATGGTAGATGTAGAGGAGGGTGGAGTTACAGTGGAGGCAGTGGAAGAGGTGGTGTACAATGAGTTTAAGAACAAGGAGGGAGGCAGCATAAAAGTAGGAGAGGGTAAGAAGGTGAGCTCCATCAAAAATTTGATTCATGTTGTTGAGTTAGGGGTGACTCTGATTCTTCGGTCTCTGAAGTGGTCATTGGAAGGCTGAGAGTTGATTTGGGTTGCAGGGTAAAGGAGACTATTCTGGTCAAAAGTGGTGATGCATCGAAGATTCCAAAGAAACCTGAAACCCATAGCTTCAAGTAAGTTTAATGTTGTTCATGTTACAAAGGTTTTGCTAAGAGAGACTTTGAAGCCTTTGAAAGAAAGAGGAAGGTGACAATTTTGGGGGGACCCTCTTGTACGATTATTCCTGATTTAATAAAATCTTGCATTACCTTTTGTCCAAAAAAAGAGAGAGGAAGGAAGAAAGCATGAGGAAAGTTTATCGAGTGCTAGGAGGAGAAATATGGAATGAGGAAGGAGGTCTGGAAGGGTTTAGACAGGTTGAAGATTAATTTGAGCTCCGTTGGAGTTCTGTAGTTACTGATATATTTGTACAAGATTGGTTTCATTCGAGCTTCATTATCTGAAGTTTGTTTAAGTATGGGTGGGAGGTTTTATTATTGTGACTCAGGGTGTTATCTTAATACCTATCATTTGGATGTATTCAGCTTTTTCTCTTCTTTGATAAAATTTTCCTGTTTGCTTATCCAATAATATGATGATGATGATGATAACTACTCCACACACCTTTCCATTAATGGTACGTGTGAAATAGGAAAATTTGTTGTGAAACCGGTCCTCAGTTGGTGCACCACTTTGGAGCAAGGAGAGTCTTTTGCAAGATGCATGTCCCCATAATTATCCTCTTCTCACCCTTCTTCCTCCTAGTTAAGGTCAACTCAATTTTGAGAGTGATCAACCTCATCATCAACTTCTAGTTCTTTATCCTCATGGCTATAGTGCCACACATATTTAGATTCTCCTTTCTACAATCAGATGAAACATGGCCCCATTCAATGCATTTGAAGCACCTTACTGCATTACGGTTTAAGGTCTTTACTGCCCCATCCCCATGGACAAAATTATCATAATTTGCTGGTCTCTTCTTGGTTGTTGTTTTGGGCCTTTGGTTATAGTTTCTAGCACTTCCTATTCTAGTTGAAGATGAACCAATACTTCTAATCGTTTAAGAAATGGACCAACACCTGCTACCACTTTTCTTAGTATATATTGGGAATAGACCAATACCATCAGCAATGCCTGGTTTCAATCCCTCCTCAAACCCTCTTCCTCCCCTAAATACTTAATAGTCCCCAAAAGTTTATCAACATTTCAAATATACCCCTATAAACTCCAACACCCTCCTAAAAGAACAACAACAAAACCAAATACATTATATCTCTCTACAAGCGAGGATATTGAAACTATTCATCAAAAAAAAGCGAGGATATTGAAACAGCCTCCATGAAAGTTAGTGTAACCCTTGCTGAACAGAACAATATTCTTGAAATTAACTCCTGACTTGAGGGGCCAATAAGTGAGCAACACCTAAGATCTATCACCATGAAGGAATCAATATTTCTTTCTAATCACATAGAGGAGGGGGGACTTGTATGTCCCTCAAGTTTAAGAACTAATGAGTTTGACCAGTGTTTTAGAATTAATGAATTTGACCAGATAATATGATAAGATCAATGTTAGTTTCAGTTAGCCAGTGAAGTCGTGTTTGAAATATCCCCTTTTGTTTGTTTCAATATATTGTAACTTGTGACCCTCAAGAGATGACATTCTGGCTTAAGCTCTTCCCAATCACACTTTGTCATAACATGGTCAAATTCATTTTGAGTCGTGAGCTCTAATTCCAGACGTGTTTTCAAGAGTCTTAACATGACCCATACTCAAGGACTCAAGAGCCCAGATTCCTCAAACAGAGCTTTCCCATAAAGTTGTCTACAAACGAATACCATGAGAGACAGTAAATGAAATAAACAAATGTTTGCAGAAACTTACGGTGTCCTGTCGTCCAATGGACCCAATGCTGGATCGTACAGACCACCAGGCAGTGGTCTCTCTACGTTATCGAATATAGTCGGATTTGTAATCTTCTTGAAACTGAGGTTCCTCACTTCTTCATCTGTTAAGAAGCTAAAGCGAACTGCCTCCACATGTTCTGTCGCCCCCTGCACCAAAACCCAGTATTAGAAAAAACGGTAGCAAATGTACAAATAGACTAAAAGGCAATAAAAACACCAAATATAAGCTCAATGCGGATGTTTCTCTTTCTTCCAAAGTAAATTTCGTTGCAACCCCTGTTCTCAAAATCCCAGTAAATTCAAATAACACGACTGGAAAAAATAAAAAGAAAATCTTCTCTTCGGACCCATGAATAGAATCTGAACTGAACTTCAATGAAAATGGTCATAATACAAAAGTGCGGAATTTGAAATAGCATCAGCTGAATAACGCTCTCCTCGTGTCAAATAAATTCAATAAGTAAACTAACTATAAATAAGTTTGGCATCAAAGTGATGAACAAATCAAAATTCCGTAAACTTCAAATTGTGGAGAGAGAGAGAGAGAGATGGAATGAGGGAAACCTCTGTAACGTGAGCCATCTTTTTTGCTGTTTTGCAGGGAGAGAAAGAGAATATTTCAGGTCCAGTGCAGGAGAGCTAGAGTTTAACAAGCTTCGACGCTTATTCTGTTATTCATCCTAGGGTTGGACAGCTCTGTGTTTCGAAAGCAGTTTTGTTGCCGGGAATGGGCGGCGGCAATGGAGTCTAGGGCTACTTCGGGTCGCTTTGGTCGAATTGGTGATCCGGCCCCGGTCTACTACGTAAAAGACCGGTCCGAACGGAGCAATGAGAGAGAAAGGAATGGAACCCTGTGGATGGTCGAACCGTTGACCTGGAAACCCATGGCCATTATGGTTTCATTTTTTGGCCATTTTTTATATATTTAAATAAAAATAACTTTGTAATCATAGTTATGGGAAATGTGGACATTGCGAGGGATTCCAAAACCTTGAAAGATAAATCTAAAGTGACCTTAAGCACAGAAAAAATGGTGGTAAATCCACCAAACTGGAAAACACAATGAAAAAAATCAGAAAATCAAATCCAGAGTTCCGCTTTGAGGCTGAGCTAAACACATACGCAACCAAAGAAACAGACAGAGCATATCTAAGAAAAAAAAAACATTACACAAAAAAACCCAAAGAAAAAACAAAAGAGAATAAATGAAATGGTGGTAAGCACTTGACAATTTTGGAGGATCTTAAAGAAGAAGACCCAAAAAAAAACAAAAAATGAAAAAAAATGAACATATCTTCATCAAACTGCATACTCTCGAATAAAGCTCAAAATAGAAAAAACCTTTTAATAGTGAAAATCCAAAAGCATAAAAAACCAGGATTTTTGAACTATCATTGACTCGGATGGTTAGACGGTCGAACCATTCGGCCTGGGAACCGTCCAAGCAATCGGTTCCATTTTACCCCAATCTCAGTCCCTAGCAAAAAACTGTCGAATCGGTCAGTTACCCATTGACCAGGGTGATCGAACCAACGACCTGTCAACCTGACCAATGGTTTTTGCCCATTTTTTTATTTTTTGTAAGAATGGGCCATCCATTCGAACTGGACGATCGAACCATTCAAACGGGCCATCCATCCGACTCTCCAAATCGGTGCACTCGTAAGCGAACCGCTCCAAAATCAACAATTTAGTCGTTTTTGCCTGGTCCACGGAAGAAATGCTCAAAATTAACCCTTATGTCATAACTCACAAAATGAATGTGGACCCTTTAGTTAGGCTACTTCGACAAAAAAAATGCAACCTCACCCTGTAACAGTGGAGGGTAGTTAATGAGGAGGTCGGGAAGCTCCTCACTGCATATTTCATCAGGGAGGTTCATTACCCGAGCAGGGTTACAAACCTAGTACTCGTAAAAAAAGCCAATGGCAAGTGGCCCATGTGTGTCGAATACACCGACTTGAACAGAGTCTGCCAATGGATTACTTCCCCCTACCTAGAATAGACTGCCTAGTAGATGCAATATCAGGGCATGAGTTGTTGAGTTTCATGGATGCCTACTCCGGCTATAATTAGATTAGGATGGATACAATTGACCAAGACAAAACTGCTTTTGTAACCGAACTAGGGCTATATTGCTATAAAGTTATGCCCTTTGGTTTGGAAAACGCTGAGACAACCTTCCAGTGACTTGTAAATAAGATTTTTGAGACTTTGATTGGCAATAAAGTGGAGTGTTATGTTGACGACATGATCGTGAAGACTAAATTCTTTGAATCTTTAATTAACGACTTAGACGTTGTTTTTCAAATTTTGCAAAAACATAATATGAAATTAAATCTGAATAAGTGTGTCTTCGAAGTCACTTCGGGAAAATTTTTAGACTACATAGTCAACCGACATGGTATCGAAACCAGCCCAAAAAAAGTAAAAGTAGTTGTAGATATGAGACCACCTCAAAAAAATAAATAAAGTCCAGAGGCTGACTGACTGGGTAGCATCCCTAAGTCGTTTCATGTCTAAGTCGGCAGGTCGATGCATTCCCTTCTTTAATGCAATTAAAAAGAATGAGACTTTCGAGTGGACTGAAAAATGCCAACTCGCGTTTGACGATATCAAAAGGTATCTAAGTACCACCCCAATTTTAACCCGACCTGAGGAAGGAGATATTTTGAAGTTGTACTCCTCCGCGAGTGACGAGGTTGTCAGCTCGGTACTAATTAGGGAGGTATATTGGTTTCAACGGCTCGTCTACTATGTAAGTAAGGTACTGCAGGATGCAGAGACCAGATACTCCGCCATCGAGAAGTTGGCATACACTTTAGTAGTAGCAACTCGAAAATTACGCTCATACTTCCAAGCCCATAACATCATCATCCTTACGGAGATACCTTTAAGGCACATCCTACTTAAGCCCGATGTATCCAGGAGATTGAGGAAATGACCCATCGAACTTGGCGAGTATGACATCTGGTTCGAGTCACGACCAGTGAGCAAAGCCCAAGTCTTGGTAGACTTCATGGCAAAATGCACGTTTAGTGCACTGACTCCTGAACTGACTGAGCCCACTCGCATGTCGAAGGCATCAACCAGTGCAACACCGGTCCCGATTGTACTAGTACTGACCTGGATGAGGAGCCCTGTATCCTCCATGTCGATGGCTCGTCCAACCAGCGAGTAAGCAGCATGAGACTGATATTGTGCGGCCCGAGCGAGATGATGTTGGAGTATGTTTTCTGGTTTGGATTCAAGGCATCGAACAACGAGGCGGAGTATGAGGCACTAATTGTCGGGCTCAAGTTAGCAAAAGATATGGGAACGAAGCACCTCATCGTATGTAGTGACTCTCAACTGATAGTACCAAGTCAATGGTGATTACAAAGCTCGTGACTCGACTATGGCAGCCTACATAACCAAAATGAGAGAGATCATACCGAACTTCGGCTCGTCTGAGAATGCCGAGGCCGACACTCTGTCATGACTAGCAAGCATGACCGACAACACTATGGAGACTGTGTATATAGAGGACCTACCTTGGCCTATCATTCTCAAGGGGACAGAAGAGGCTGCTCCCATGTTGCAAGCAGAACCGAGCTGGATTGAATGCTCGTTGATTATCTGCTCCACGAGATCCTACCTATGGAACGCAATGCAACTCAAAGGATAGAGCGTCAATCAGCCAAGTACGTCCTCATAGATAGATGGCTGTACAGAAGACCATTCATGCTCCCCTACTTGCATTGCTTGCGACCCACAAAAGTTGAGCTTGTACTTCTATCCATGAAGGTCTATGTGAAGGGCACCTAGAGGGTAGGGCCCTTGCTAAAAAAACATTAAGGTAGGGCTACTATTGGCCCGCAATGAAAGCAAATGCACTCAAACTCATCAAGAAATGCAATAGATGTCAGAGGTATGCCAACATCCTCCATCAACATGCTACCGATTTGAAATATCTTACAAGCTCATGGCCCTTCGCGTAATGGGGAATCGGTATCCTCGGTCAATTTCCGCCGGCAACCAGACAGAGGAAGTTCTTAGTCATGGCTGTAGACTGCTTCACGAAGTGGGTGGAAGATGAACTGGTGTGCTATTTTAGAATAGCACCAGTTATGGAATTTAATGTCCTTAAATTGCTTACCGTTGTCAGAGATCAGTACCCGAGGTAACCTGAAGCGGGGCACACTATACTTTTCCAAAAGAAGTTTTGCACGTTCCAAGCTGTGATTGTTACGAGAGGTTCAGCTTCTACCCACTTAGTGAAACAATCAACTGCTACCACTAAAAACCTCCTCTGGCCTGTCGCTGGTGGAAACGGTCCGAGTATATCGATCCCCCACTGTGCGAAAGGCCACGGGCTGGTGAGATACTTCAGGTCGGCGGCAGGTTGATGGTGGATATTGGCATACTTCTAGCATTTGTCACATTTTCTGACGAGTTCGTTCGCATCTGCTTTCATTGTTGGCCAGTAGTACCCCTGTCGTAGCGCTTTTTGGGCGAGAGCCCTGCCCCCCAAGTGTCTGCCGCACAGGCTTTCATGAGTATCGCGGAGCATGAGCTCGACTTCGGAAGGTCGCAATCAGCGCAGGTAGGGGAGCGTGTAAGATCTTCGGAACAGTCGTTTGTCTATCATGACATATTTGGCCGCCTGACGCTCTACCCTTCTAGCGGCATTGCGGTCTGCAGGGAGGGTCCCGTGCAGGAAGCTCACGAGCGGATCAATCTAGCTCGACTCTGCTTGAACGACAGGACCAACCTCCTCTGCCCCCCAAGAATGTTAGGCCGAGGCAGGTTCCCTATGTACACGGTTCTCATGGTATCATCACTAGTGCTGGCTAACCGAGATAGGGCATCGGCCTCAACGTTCTCCGATCTCGGGATTTTGCTTGATGAAATGTGACTGGAAGTTGAGTAGAGCCTCTCTTACTTTGGCTAAATAGGCGATCATGGCTGGTTCGCGAGCTTCGTATTCGCTTGTGACTTGATTGACCACGAGCTGGGAATCGCTGCAGATGACGATATGCTTGGCTAGAGCCAACCCGACTATCAACGCCTCGTACTCCGCTTCATTGTTGGATGCTGCGAAGTCATAGCGTAGTGCGTACTCCAGTTTTGTGCCGCTTAGGCCGTACAGAACGATTTCGGCTTCGCTGCTCTGCTGTTTTGACGAGCCATCTACGTGAAGGATTCAAGGCTCCTCCTCCCAGTTTGTGCTTGGCCTAACTAGGAGAGATGCCACACTGGTTGCAACCTCACGGTGCTCGAGCTCAACCGGCCTGGGAACTTTGGGCTTGCTCGAGCTAGGGGCCTCGTGCTCGATCGGCCTGGGGACTTCGGAGCTGAAAGTGCATTCCGCGATGGTCTGCTAAGGCTTGGGCCTTGATAGCAGTTGACGGCTTGTACTGAAGTCGTACTCGCTGAGCTCAACGGCAAACTTCGTCAGTCTATTGGAGACCTCAAGCTTGAGCAGAACTTGCCTCAGAAGTTTGTTGGTGAGGACGATGACAATGTGAGCTTGGAAGTACGGACGAAGCTTTCGGGCTGCAATAACTAGTGCATAGGCCAACTTTTCTATCTCTGGATATCTCGTCTCTGCTCCTTGCAACACTTTACTAACATAGTAGATAGGTCGTTGGACCCGATCTCCGATCTACCTCTTTTATCAGTACCGAGCTGACCACCTCGTCACTTGCCGAGAGGTACAACTCTAAAACATCGCCCTCCTCGGGCCGGTTAAGACCGGTATACTA